ACCTGAACTTTAGGCACCCCAGGGGACCACCTGAACTTTAGGCACCCCAGGGGACCACCTGAACTTTAGGCACCCCAGGACCACCTGAACTTTAGGCACCCCAGGGACCACCTGAACTTTAGGCACCCCAGGGACCACCTGAACTTTAGGCACCCAGGGGACCACCTGAACTTTAGGCACCCCAGGGACCACCTGAACTTTAGGCACCCCAGGGACCACCTGAACTTTAAGCACCCCAGGGACCACTCTGAACTTTAGGCACCCCAGGGACCACCTGAACTTTAGGCACCCCAGACCACCTGAACTTTAGGCACCCCAGGGGACCACCTGAACTTTAGGCACCCCAGGGGACCACCTGAACTTTAGGCACCCCAGGACCACCTGAACTTTAGGCACCCCAGGGGACCACCTGAACTTTAGGCACCCCAGGGACCACCTGAACTTTAGGCACCCCAGGGGACCACCTTGAACTTTAGGCACCCCAGACCACCTGAACTTTAGGCACCCCAGGGGACCACTGAACTTTTAGGCACCCCAGGGACCACCTGAACTTAGGCACCCAGGGACCACCTGAACTTTAGGCACCCCAGGACCACCTGAACTTTAGGGCACCCAGGGACCACCTGAACTTTAGGCACCAGGGGACCACCTGAACTTTAGGCACCCCAGGGGACCACCTGAACTTTAGGCACCCCAGGGGACCACCTGAACTTTAGGCACCCAGGACCACCTGAACAGGGTGCTAGTCTACTTGGAAGGGGTTGTGTACCAGCTGGGAGCCATCTTAATCACCCAGGTCCAGGCAAAGGTCCAAGTACAGGTCGTGGGTACAGGTAATAGGCACAAGTTCAAGCACAGGTACAGGTATAGGCACAGGTCCAGGTACAGGCACAGGCACAGGTGTATAGGTCCAGGTACAGGTCAAATCACAGGTCCAGGCACAGGTATAGGCACAGGTCCAAGCAGGGGTCCAGGTACAGGTAATAGGCAAAAGTTCAGGTACAGGTATAGGCACAGGTCATAGGTACAGATCCAGGTCCAAGCACGGGTCCAGGTACGGGTCCAGGTACAGGTAACCGCTCCAGGTAACACACGGGTATAGTCCCAGGTACCACGCACTAAATAAAAAGATCAGGTGAAATTATGGACAATTTTCAGCGTTGCAACATACCAGAGTGACGGTGTTTGTGGGAGTTGTCACGCTAAGGTCAAAAGGTCATCAACCTCTAGTCCGCCAGGCTCAGGTCATGTCTCAATGTGACCTATATTGACCTGAGGATAGTTAGTATGATGTTTTTGTTTTCCTATATAATCGTTCAACTTTATATGGCTAGTTTAGTATATTAGAACTAGTTATATTGTCTTTTATATAAGTATAACCACTATAGTTTATTAGCTATATTAACTCGTGTTATATAAGACTAGCACCTGGTGGGGGTGACGCATACATGCACACTCACCTGCATACACGTGTATACTTTATGGAACACGTATGCACACATATATGAAAACATAATATTTATGCGATAATTGTACACAAACACACATAAAACAAACACACACACACACACACACACATTTCAAATGTACAGCAGGTGTGAAGCACAGGTGTAGGGACACTCTGTGAGATTGGGGGTGGGGGGTTGCAATTGCAGTCTACACTCGCCACTACCCTCGGTGCGCGGTGGCTGAGTGGACAAGACTCGATTCCTCACCTTAGGTAGTTAGTTCGAGCCCAGGCACCTCCAGATCACCCCCCTACACTTCACCTTGCTGTAAACATGCACCTGACGACAGTTTGGGTAAGGAAGACAGTCAAGTTCAGTGTCTCCCGTCATCAGTACTCAAGGCTAGTGATGCTACTACATGTACTCAGGTTAGGTTAGGTTAGTGTGTGGAGCCAACATGAACCTAACGTATAGTGTTTTTTCTTCCCGCAGATGGCCGTGGTGACGATGATGACGACATGATGACGCTTCACTTTTCACATCATCAGTGAAGCATAACCTCCTCCTCCCTCCCTCCCTCCCTCCCTCCCTCCCTCCTCCCTCCCCTAGTTCCTTTACGTGTCTCCCTTCCAATCCTTTCTCCCTCTACTCGTCCTCCCCTTTACTAGTGACTCTCTCCCTTCCTCCACTTGTTACCCTCTCTCTCCTCCTCCACTAATCCATCCCCCTCCCTCCCTCCCTCTCCACTAGTCCACCTCCCTCCCTCCTCCACTAGTCCACCTCCTCCCTCTCCACTAGTCCACCTCCCTCCCTCCTCCACTAATCCACCCCCTCCCTCCCTCCACTAGTCCACCCCTTCCTCCTCCACTAACCACACTCCCTCCCTCCACTAATCCACCCCCTCCCTCCCTCCCCTCCACTAATCCACCCCCTCCTTCCCCCCTCCCTCCCTCCACACGTCAAAACACCTCTCTCACTCCACCTCCTTACCACACCTCACCCCGCCTCACCAAGAAACACATCCTCTTGGGACTACAAAAGCACTTCCGTCCGCCTAGCAACATCTGGGACCCCCTCTAGCAACACCTGGGACCCTTCTAGCAACACCTGAGACCCCTCTAGCAACACCTGGTATCCCTCTAACAGCACCTGGGATCCCCCTATCAACATCTGGGACCCCTTTATCAGCACCTGGGACCCCCTATCAACACCGGGGACCCCCTATCAACACCGGGGACCCCTATCAACACCCTGGGATCCCCTATCAACACCTAGGACCCCTCTAGCAACACCTGGGACCCCCGATCAACACCTGGGACCCCCTATCAACACCTGGGATCCCCGATCAACACCTGGGACCCCCTATCAGCACCGGGGGACCCCTATCAACACCGGGGACCCCCTACACAGGATGCGGCAGCGTCTCCTCACCTGTTATGAATGTCACTCCTATTACCACATGTCACTTTAACCAGAAGATCGTTCCTACCACAACTACAAGACCACATCAACCACCATTATGTATTAGTCTTAAGGTGGTCTTCCTTCCTCACTCATCATCACTATAAGACTACATCAACCACCATCGTATACCAGTCGTAAGGGGGTCCAACTACCACAACTACAAGACCAAAGGAACTACCACAATCACCACTACTACAAGACCTCAGGAACTACTACCACCACCACCACTACTACTTCAAGACCGCAACCACTACCACGATCGTCTACCAGCCACTGAAGGGGCTCGACCACCACTACCACCACCACCATGGCAGCTCACCAGATGGTTGCTACCCTCATCTTCAGGCTTATGTTGCCTCTCCTGCTGGGGATCTGTGAGTACTGGTGTGTGTGTGTGTGTGTGTGTGTGTGTGTGTGTGTGTGTGTGTGTGTGTGTGTGTGTGTGCTTATAGTGATGGTCTGTGTGTATGTGTGTACAGAGGAGTAGGTGTTAGTTATGAGTTTATGTGTGTTTATATATGTACAGGAGACGTTCATAGTGTGTTTGTGTACGTTTATGTGTGTACTTATGTTGATACAATGTTTATATGTGTACATAAGATGTTAATAGGTGCTTGTATGAGTATTTATGTGTGTACAGGTGATGCTAATGGTGTGGTGTGACGGTGGAGGTGTAACAGCAGGTAACGTGGGAGTGTTTATGTTATGAAAGCATTTTTTATACCTTCTCAAGAACATGTGCTTCAGCTAAATTTTAAATATCCTCTTTCCGTCACCCTCCTCTCCCCTCCCTCCCCTTCCATTAAGATCTCCCCTCTCTTCCATCAACCTCTTTCCCCTTTCCCATCAATTTCTACCCCCTCCCATCAAGCTCTACCCCCTCCCATCAAGCTCTACCCCCTCCCATCAAGCTCTACCCCCTCCCACACTGCCCTTCCCTGCACCACCATTTATGACCTTTTGGTTGTTTCTTCCTCTCCTTCCCTCACGTAACAAAAGGGATGGTAAGGTGTAAGTGTGGTAGGTGTGGTAGGTGTGGCGGGGATGTGGTAGGTGTGTGAGAATGTGGTAGGTGGTATGTGGTGTAATAAAGTAATAATAAGTATAAATTACATTAGGTTATTTAACTCACTCAGACACCCACGTTGATAAAAGCCTTCCTCCTCCTCCTCCCTCCTCCCTCCCTTCCTCCTCCCCTTCTTCCTCCTCCCTCCCTTCCTCCTCCCCCCCTTCCTCCTCCTCCCCCCCTTCCTCCTCCCCTCCTCCCCTTCCTCCTCCTCCCTTCCTCCTTCCCTCCTCCTCCCCCTCCTCCCCCTTCCTCCTCCTCCTCCCCCTTCCTCCCTCCCCCTTCCTCCTCCCCCCCTTCCTCCCCCCTCCCCTCTTCCCCCTCCCCCTCTTCCTATAGGTTGCTATGGGTATAGTGACGTGTAGTGTCAGTTGAGTGTGTTATATATAGGACGCTGAAGAGTGTGTTGGGGCCCGGTGTAATGGAGGGGGCATGGTCGGAGGAGAGGTTAATGGTTGAAGGTCTTGGTATGGTTGAAGGTCTTGGTATGGTTGATGGTCTTGGTATGGTTGATGGTCTTGGTATGGTTGATGGTCTTGGTATGGTTGAAGGTCTTGGTATGGTTGATGGTCTTGGTATGGTTGAAGGTCTTGGTATGGTTGATGGTCTTGGTATGGTTGATGGTCTTGGTATGGTTGATGGTCTTGGCGTATGGATTTGAAGGTCTTGGTATGGTTGATGGTCTTGGTATAGTTGAAGGTCTTGGTATGGTTGATGGTCTTGGTATGGTTGAAGGTCTTGGTATGGTTGATGGTCTTGGTATGGTTGATGGTTTTGGTATGGTTGATGGTCTTGGTATGGTTGAAGGTCTTGGTATGGTTGATGGTCTGGTATAGTTGAAGGTCTTGGTATGGTTGATGGTCTTGGTGCATGGTTGAAGGTCTTGGTATGGTTGATGGTCTTTGTATGGTTGATGGTCTTGGTATAGTTGAAGGTCTTGGTATGGTTGATGGTCTTGGTATGGTTGAAGGTCTTGGTATGGTTGAAGGTCTTGGTATGGTTGATGGTCTTGGTATGGTTGATGGTCTTGGTATGGTTGAAGGTCTTGGTATGGTTGGTCTTGGTATGGTTGAAGGTCTTGGTATGGTTGAAGGTCTTGGTATGGTTGAGGGTCTTGGTATGGTTGAAGGTCTTGGTATGGTTGATGGTGACGTGTTTGGCTGTGAATCAACTCTCAGAGACTAGTCAGTGTATTCTGTAGGATATTGTCACACTAAGATGAAGAGTATCCTTAAGGAAATCACTGGTGAGGAAGTAGAGATCCTTCCTATGGCTTTGTGCTGTAGGTGAAGGAATGGTGGGTGAGGCACTGGTTGGTGGGTTCTGTAGGAGACGCTGTAGGTGAAGGAATGGTGGGTGAGGCACTGGTTGGTGGGTTCTGTAGGAGACGCTGGGTGAAGGAATGTGGTGAGGCACTGGTTGGTGGGTTCTGTAGGAGACGCTGTAGGTGAAGGAATGGTGGGTGAGGCACTGGTTGGTGGGTTCTGTAGGTGACGCTGTAGGTGAAGGAATGGTGGGTGAGGCACTGGTTGGTGGGTTCTGTAGGAGACGCTGTAGGTGAAGGAATGGTGGGTGAGGCACTGGTTGGTGGGTTCTGTAGGAGACGCTGTAGGTGAAGGAATGGTGGGTGAGGCACTGGTTGGTGGTTGGTGGGTTCTGTAGGAGACGCTGTAGGTGAATGAATGGTGGGTGAGGCACTGGCTGGTGGGTCTGTAGGAGACGCTGTAGGTGAAGGAATGGTGGGTGAGGCACTGGTTGGTGGTTCTGTAGGAACGCTGTAGGTGAAGGAATGGTGGGTGAGGCACTGGTTGGTGGGTTCTGTAGGAGACGCTGTAGGTGAAGGAATGGTGGGTGAGGCACTGGTTGGTGGGTTCTGTAGGAGACGCTGAGGTGAAGGAATGGTGGGTGAGGCACTGGTTGGTGGGTTCTGAGGGGCCCTGTAGGTGAAGGAATGGTGGGTGAGGCACTGGTTGGTGGGTTCTGTAGGAACTGTAGGTGAAGGAATGGTGGGTGAGGCACTGGTTGGTGGGTTCTGTAGGAGACGCTGTAGGTGAAGGAATGGTGGGTGAGGCTGGTTGGTGGGTTCTGTAGGAGACGCTGTAGGTGAAGGAATGGTGAGTGAGGCACTGGTTGGTGGGTTCTGTAGGAGACGCTGTAGGTGAAGGAATGGTGGGTGAGGCACTGGTTGGTGGGTTCTGTAGGAGACGCTGTAGGTGAAGGAAAGATGGGTGAGGCACTGGTTGGTGGGTTCTGTAGGAGGAACCGGTGAAGAATGGTGGGTGAGGCACTGGTTAGGTGGGTTCTGTAGGAGACGCTGTAGGTGGGTGAGGCACTGGTTGGTGGGTTCTGTAGGAGACGCTGTAGGTGAAAGGTGGGTGAGGCACTGGTTGGTGGGTTCTGTAGGTGACGCTGTAGGTGAAAAGGTGGGTGAGGCACTGGTTGGTGGGTTCTGTAGGTGAAGTAAAGGTGGGTGGGTTGGTGGGTTCAGTGTGTGGTGTTGATGTACTGGCCTGAAACATGATACACTCGGTGCAGACTGTCACGTCATACTGCCATGATAGACTGTGATGGCTCTGTTGTCTTGCTTCCTAGTAATTATAAAGACGTCTAGCGGCCATCTTGAAAAACGGCGGCTATTTTTGACAACTTCACCTGAGGTCTTTCTACAGTATTCTTAAATAAGGTTAACTATTGTACTGCCTTAACACAGTACAGGAAATATGGTCAGTTTAGTCACCTACAGGGGCTCAAATGACTCAACGAAACCTGTGACTCGTGGGGACTCAGAAGTGACTCATGGGGAGGACTCAGAGGTCAGAGTAACGAACAGACAGCAGGAGATTAAGAGTGGTGGTTGGGGAGGGAGGAGGAAGGAGGAGGAGGAAGAGGGGGGCTCTGGGTACACTGGACAGTGAGCAGGAGTTAGTGTGGTGGTGGTTAGTCCTTCCTCCGAGCCCACCACCATCCTCCCTCCCTCCCTCCCTCCTCCCCCTCCCCTCCTCCCCCCTCCCCTCGCCCTTTACCTCACAGCTAAGTGATTTTCAGTTTAACCATTTTCCCCCTACTTCTTCTTTCTTGTTTATTTCCTCTCCTCCCTGTCCCTTTCCTTCTTTTTCTCTCCATCCTTCCACTTTCCTCCCCCCATACATTTCTTTCCCCTCCCCTCCTTCCCCTTTCCTTTCTCCCATTTACCTATCTCTCTCCTCCTCCATCCTTCTCTCTCTCCCTCTCCTTCCCTCCTCCCTCTCCCTCCCTCCTCCCTCTCTCCCCCTCCTCTCCCTCCTCTCTCTCCCTCTCCTTCCCCTCCCCTCCCTCCCTCTCCCCCTCCTCCCTCCCTCCTCCCTCCCTCCCTCCTCTCCCTCCCCTCTCCTTCCTCCCTCCCTCCCTCCCCTCTCTCTCCCCTCCCTCCCCTCCCTCCTCTCTCTCCCCTCTCCTTCCCTCCTCTCCCCTCCTCCCCTCCCCTCCCTCCCTCCCCCTCTCCCCTTCCCTCCCCTCTCTCTCCCCTCTCTCTCTCCCTCTCCTTCCCCTCCTCCCCCCTCCTTCCTCCTCTCTCCCTCTCCTTCCCTCCTCTCCCCCCTCCCCTCCCCTCCCTCTCTCCCTCTCCTTCCCTCCTCCCCCCTCCTTCCCTCCTCCTCCCCCCCTTCCCTCCTCTCTCTCCCTCTCTCCTTCCCCTCCTCTCCCCCTCCCTCTCTCTCCCTCTCCTTCCCCTCCCTCTCCCCTCCCTCCCTCTCCCTCTCCCCTCTCCCCCTCTCTCCTTCCCTCCTCCCTCCCCTCCTTTCCCCCTCCTTCCCTCTCTCCCCTCCTCCTCTCTCTCCCTCCTTCCCTCCTCCCCTCCTTCCTCCTCTCTCTCCCCCTCCTTCCCTCCTCTCCCCCCTCCCCTCCCCTCCTCTCCCCCTCTCCTTCCCTCCTCCCCTCCCTTCCCTCCCCCCTCTCTCCCCCTCCCCTCCTCTCTCTCCCTCTCCTTCCCTCTCTCCCCTCCCCTCTCTCCCCTCTCCTTCCCTCCTCCCCTCCTTCCCTCCTCTCTCTCCCTCTCCTTCCCTCCCTCTCCCTCCCCTCTCTCTCCCCTCCCCTCTCCCTACCTGTCTCTCACCTTAATATCACCGACTAAGTCAATTAACATGGCGACACGTCTTATGTACTGGACCAGGTACTGTACACACACAGGACAGTAATAGTACACACCCAGCCGCCACCAGTCCCTGATCAGTGTAAACAAAGAGACACGAGGTCGGTAAACACTCCATCACGCGAGAGGAGCTGGGTGATGGTACTGTGTGTGTGTGTGTGTGTGTGTGTGTGTGTGTGTGTGTGTGTGGAGTGTTTGTCCGTATTGTGTATGGGCCCTTGAGTGTGTCACATGTTGAGTGTTAAGTGTGTTCTGTGAAGATACTTGAGTGGCAGTGGTCGAGGCTGGCAGCTGGCCAAGGTGGTGGAGTGCGTGCGTGTGAGTGTGCGTGTGTGTGTGAGTGTGTGTGTGTGAAGTAAAAATGTCACTTTGATATTTCCTTGTTGCTTAGGGGGGTGGGAAGCATGTGACAAGAAGGGGCTGGTGAGAGAGAGAGAGTGAGTCATGGTGTGGTGGTATATATGGGGGACGAAGGAGAGGGTGTTGGGGGAGGGGGAGGTAATAGGGAGGCAGTAACGAGGCCATTGCAGCGTTCGGCTGGTCATGGGTTGTTAGTCTGCTATACTCTGGACCTGATACACTCTAGGTGTAGTGTGTGTGTGGAGACTGAAGGGGGGGAAGGAGGCATTAAGAGAGCTATTTAAACATTATTTCAGGTCCATTAGGCAGGGGGCAGCACTGTCACCTGAGTCAATGGAGTCACCTGAGAGTCACCTGGAGATTCACACTAACCTCCACACACCTGAATGTCAAGAGGCTCATGGTTGACTGTAACTTCCAACTACAACTAGGTGATGTTTCAGTATATCTGGGGGAGGAGGAGGTGGAGAGAAGGGTGAGGGACAGGGAGAGGAGGTGAGATATGGGATGGGCGTTGGTGGTTAGGTCGTTAGGGCCAGCCAGGAGCCATCAGGAGTCGTCCTGTAATGGTGGAAGGTAACGACCAGGGAGGCGACGTTGAGGTGGTGGTGACCTAATCTAACCTGGACTCCAGACCTGACCTGACCCAACCTAACACAAAGCATAATTTTAGTACAAATGTTTGGCTGATGTGGTGTGTGTGTGTGTGTGTGTGTGTGTGTGTGTGTGTGTGTGTGTGTGTGTGTGTGTGTGTGTGTGTCCTCATCATTACACAATTAGGGTAAATGCTGAGTAACTCTGGCTGTACTGAGGGCGGATATAGCAGGAGGAGAGGGGCCACACACTCTCACCCCACACACCCCCACACACCCCCACCCCACACACCCTCACCACACACCCCACCACACCCTCACCACACACCCCTCACCACACACCCCTCACCATAGTCAATCTCAGGTAATGGTAATGTTTATTGTTGTCCTCAGGTGCAGTGCTAAGGTTCAGTTTGATGTCCTTGGCTTACCTGCTGCTGCTGATGGCTGTATTCTCCTGCCAGCCCCGACCTTCCATACTATGCGTGGTTTGTATTGCCCCGTCTCTCCCTCTCTCTCTCTCTCTCTATTATTTTCTTCATTTATTTCTTCCTTTTTTCTTTCTCTTTATTCTTTTTATCTTCCATTCTTTTTTTATTCACTTTCTTTCTTTCTTTTCTTTCTCTCTTTGCCTTCCTTCCTTCATGCATATTTACATCACAAAATTTACAAAGAAAAATTTAATGAAATAAATAACAATAATAGTAGTATTAGTAGTAGTAGTAGTAGTAATAATAATAGTAGTAGTAGTAGCAATAATAGTAGTAGTAGTAGTAAGTGCACATACTAATTACTCCCCACACTCAACAGGACACACTGGCCGGTACCTGAAGGCTGTGGCTGGTATAAGTATAGTGAACTTCCTGCTGCAGTTTACTTTCCAGATAGTACTACTGTCTCTCCCTCCCTACGCCTACTTCCTGAAGGAGTGTAAGTACCGCCACTGTCTCTACTTTTATATGTACTGTTCGTATAAATCTTAGGTGACGTCACTCCATATTTCATTATAACGTGTATGTACAGTATGTATGTCCTGTATGTATGTATGTATGTATGTATGTATGTATGTATGTAGGTCATGTATGTTATGTATGTATGCATGTATGTAGGTATGTATGTATGTATGTATGTATGTCCTGTATGTATGTATGTATGTATGTATGTATGTAGTAGGCTGTAATAATAATAATAAAAATTAACGGTTTATTGAAGAGCTTAAGCCAGAAGGCTGAAAATATACAGTTACATATTTGGGAATGGGTTACGAATTACAAATAATATACAAGGACATAAGTGACACAAAAAGACATATAGTAACTTAGAGGGGATCAGCTCAACTACAGTTCATTTTAACATAGTGACAGTGTAGGAGCAGTGTTTACTGGGAGGAATACTGATTTATTACATGTTATTGATAATTTTACAATGGTTGGGACTGGCTGTTTTATAGCGATCAGTTGCACGTATGGGCTGGATGCGGTGTGTGTCGAACAGCACTTAGGGGATCTCGTGGTAGTATGTATGTATGTATGTATGTATGTAGGTCATGTATGTTATGTATGTATGTATGTAGGTCATGTATGTTATGTATGTATGTATGTATGTCCTGTATTTATGTATATATGTATGTGTGTATGTATGTATGTATGTATGTATGTATGTACTGTATGTGTGCACATTCCTCACTTCACAAGAAACCCTAAGCACTTGAACTAAATTCCTCAAACACTACCTCGAGGCACTCAAGCGAGACACTTAAGTCAATTATACTGAACTGAGGAATGAACTTATTGACCTTTTACACCGAGAGGATATTAGTAAGATAATTTATAACTTGTTGTGGATAATAAGCTTTTGTTAGAGCAGGAAAGTGACCAGGTAGTACTCGTTAGGCAGGTGACAGGAGGAAAGTGACCAGGTAGTACTCGTTAGGCAGGTGACAGGAGGAAAGTGACCAGGTAGTACTCGTTAGGCAGGTGACAGGAGGAAAGTGACCAGGTGGTACTCTGTTAGGCAGGTGACAGGAGGAAAGGACCAGGTAGTACTCTGTTAGGCAGGTGACAGGAGGAATGTGACCAGGTGGCACGTTAGGCAGGGGTGACAGGAGGAAAGTGACCAGGTGGTACTCGCTAGGCAGGTGGCAGGAGGAAAGTGACCAGGTGGTACCTGTTAGGCAGGTGACAGGAGGAAGTGACCAGGTAGTACTCGTAGGGCAGGTGACAGGAGGAAAGTGACCAGGTGGTACTCGTTAGGGCAGGTGACAGGAGGAAAGTGACCAGGTGGTACTCGTTAGGCAGGTGACAGGAGGAAAGTGACCAGGTGGTACCTGTTAGGCAGGTGATAGGAGGAAAGCACTGTGAGTACTCTGTTCGGCAGGTGACAGAGGAAAGTGACCAGGTAGTACTCTGTTAGCAGGGTGACAGGAGGAAAGTGACCAGGTAGTACTTCGCTAGCAGGTGACAGGAGGAAAGTGACCAGGTAGTACCTCTGCTAGGGCAGGTGACAGGAGGAAAGTGACCAGGTAGTACTCTGTTAGGGCAGGGTGACAAGAGGAAAGTGACCAGGTAGTACCTGTTAGGGCAGGTGACAGGAGGAAAGTGACCAGGTAGTACTCTGTTAGGCAGGTGACAGGAGGAAAGTGACCAGGTAGTACTCTGTTAGGGCAGGTGACAGGAGGAAAGTGACCAGGTAGTACTCTGCTAGGCAGGTGACAGGAGGAAAGTGACCAGGTAGTACTCTGCCAGGCAGGTGACAGGAGGAAAGTGACCAGGTAGTACTGCTAGGCAGGTGACAGGAGGAAAGTGACCAGGTAGTACTCTGCCTGTCAGGTAACTCATAAAGGTAAGCTCTGAGTTGTTGTTCAAATACTGATGGAGTAGTGGTACATTGGGGAGTGTTTACGTGCCTGTGTGTTGGTGGATTTACTGCCTCCAGCCGCCTCTCCACACATAGTTTGTCTCGTGTGTGTGTGTGTGTGTGTGTGTGTGTGTGTGTGTGTGCATTGAAGCTACTGAATCTCTTGTTATTGAGGGCCTTAAATTTATATGTATGTATGTATGTATGTATGTATATAATCCTGACCCTCTACAACCAATCATAATCCCTCTGGTGACAACACAGGTGGATTTCTGGAGCAACTTCTACGGCACTTGGGATTTCACTGGACGGCATCAGTGAGGTAGACGGGACGCGATGGATGCTGCCCGAGTGTATTCTAGTGGTGTTTGCTCCCGGGGTTTACGTCGCCTGTCTCAAACTCACCTCCCATACCAGCCCAGATCTCCACCTACCCGCCCACAATGCCTCAGATAACCATAAAAACGTCGGGCTTAGGATTCTCAATGCCGTGGGTTAGTGTTTATCTATAGACTACCATAACCACCATAACCACCATCAGTACCATCACCATTCCCACCATAACCACCATCACAGACCATTAATTACCGACACACGCAAGAACCATGGCGTCAGAGTTACCGTGTAGTAGTGGGTTATCAGCCAGGAGGTCATCAGGTGGACGATTCTTTTAGTCGTTTTTGGTTGATGAGTCACGACATGCAACACAGTGTCTTGTCATTAACGGCACAGTTGTTATAGCTAATGACAACACCACACACAACACACACCCCTCACCACACACCCCTCACCACACACCCCCACCACACGTCCCTCTCACCACGCCCCTCACCACACACACCCTCACCACACGCCCTCACCACACGCCCCCCCTCACCACACGCCCCTCACCACACACCCTCACCACACACCCCACCACACACCCCACCACACGTCCCTCCCCACCACGCACCCCACCACACGTCCCTCCCTCACCACGCCCCTCACCACACACCCCCCAACACACCCCCACCACACCCTCACCACACGTCCCTCTCACCACGCCCTCACCACACACACCCCCACCACACGCCCTCACCACACGCCCTCACCACACCCCCCTCACCACACGCCCTCACCACGCCCTCCACCACCCCCTCTCACCACACCCTCACCACGCCCTCACCACACACACCCCTCACCACACACACCCCTCACCACACACACCCCTCACCACGCCCTCTCACCACACGCCCCTCTCACCACACGCCCTCCTCTCACCACACGCCCCTCTCACCACACGCCCCTCACCACACACGACATGCAACACAACATCTTGTTTATAACCAGGTTGTTATAGCAAATGACAACAGACTTCCATATATCCGACTTCTCAATATATAATCCGTTATAGGGGGGTTTCGCATATAACGGACCCTCGATATAACGGACTTCATTCTTTCGCTGTACATATATGACTTTTTCTCTAATCTCTGAGGTACATACATGGCTTTCTTTCATCTCCCTCACATTCATACCTGACTTTCTCTCATCTCTCACATTCAAACCTGACTTTCATCTCTCCTACAGGTACATACATGGCCTTAGCAATGATAGGATGCGCCTCCGTGATGGTTCCTTCTGTTACCTCAGCTGTGTACTTCGTGGTGTTCATAGCCAGCGCCACCTACTGGAGTCTTAATAACGCTCTCGGCCGCCGCTTTGGGTAGGGTACAGTATGGTAGATTAGGGGTACAGTATGGTAGACAGGAATACAGTATGGTAGACAGGAATACAGTATGGTAGACAGAAATACAGTATGGTAGACAGGAATACAGTATGGTAGACAGAAATACAGTATTTTAGACAGGAATACAGTATGGTAGACAAACAACAACAATTATGGTGACCCTCGGCAGGTTTGTGTGTCGGGGTGATGTTAGCAGGCGTCCACGTGGTGTGTCTCTACATATACCAGGTGCAGTGGGCCCAGCATTACTTCCCTCCTGACTCACTGTGTGCAAGGTAAGACTCACTAATTAATGCTGAAGGGTAACTGAGTGGCGGCTGTAGTCGAGTCCTGCCACGTTGTTAGTTAAGTGAAATGAATAATGTATAATGCTGTACAGGTTTTAGCATTATTTAAACAGTTGGGTCCCTTATTTAGGTAACTGGTATAATTATCTTTGGTGAATGGAGTTTGGTATTATAATGTGATGTTTAGATGAGTGGTGAAAATGTATGTGGCAGTAACGTTTTTCCTCTGGTGATATTTTTTATGTTATGGTGTCACTATGCATCAGGTCACAACTCTGCTGTATATTTTGTTTTGTGTATTGGTGCTGGTAATACTTTGTGGTTTATATTCTTCATGATTGATTGATGTGTGTTGGGTCAAGGTTCAGGTCAGATTGGGTTATTATTGTTTTTTATTTACAAACTCCTAAGACACTTAAACCAACAACTGAGCGGTGTGTTATTGTTCAGGGTGTTTGGGTTCACGGCGGTGGTGGACACCAAGTGTAAGGATCCCCGGTCAGCGTCGCTCACCACGGGCGAGTGGTCAAGGTTCGTCAACCCCATCCTGCTCCTGGCTCTCTACTATGTCCTGGCCTTTGAGTCACAGTTCCTGCTCTCCAACAAGGTACGGCAGATATTATGTTTTCTGTTTCTGAGCAAGTTTGTGGGTTATATGACTTCCCTTTATTCGGGATAAAGCTGAGGCGTGTGTGTGAATATGGTGAGGTTAACACATGTTTACGGAGGCGACGTGTGCTCCCGGTGTTGACACTACTAATGATGGAGTGGTAGAGCCTTGTAGCCCTCTTTGATTACCATCAGCCGGGGATGATCACCGCTGTGTTTGTCCGCCACTGTTGCCTCCATGATTACAGAGGCCTCAGTATCACCCACTCCCACCACTATCACGCTCACCCTACATGACAATACACTAACCTTCTCCCCACCCCAAAGCTTGACCCCTCCCTCACCCTCCTCCCTCCCCTTGCTCTTCCCTCTCGCAGGCGGCGCTCTTGTCCCCGATGGGGTCCAGCGTACGGTACCTTATCCGACGTAGCACCGTCAGGAGCCGTTCAATGAAGTCCGGCAGATCCTCGGCGTCTGAGATCCGGTCTCGACGCACCTCTGTCAGCCACCACTCCCGTCGTCGCCTCCCCCACGACACACAAGTAACCAGACGCCTCTGGCTCTCTCAGCCGTCTATGGCCACTCTTAGTTATCCATGACTACTTACCTATCCTTAGCCTTTTCCCTGTTCCCTCTCACTCTTCTCCAACCTTAGTCATCAGTCGGCCAACACTGCTCCTGGCCAGTACAGTATATACTGACCACACTCTGTTTTTACTGCACACACACACAAGGCTACTTCTGGCCACCACCACTACTAAAGTATCTGGGCACCACTGTCTGGTCATCACTATCTCATCTTTACTATCCCTTCACCACTACCTGGCCATCACTGTCGTCTAGATTGTGTTGTGATGTTGCTTTCCTCAGTGATGCCTGTGTCTGTCAACTCACCTTCACCTCTCTCATTCTACACTTACAGGTAAACTAGTGGGTGGCAGATCATGTGGGCCCCAGTCCTAACTTAACCTAGTTATTAGAATTGGTATATAGTCTTAACAGGCCCAAGTTTTAAAGGACACCAATTCTAATGGGCACTGGTCCAGGTAGCATTAGGTTATGTTATGTTAGAGGGACATATTAGGACAGGTTCCATTTGATCTGAAACCAAACCAGTGTTCTGTTTAGCCCCTGTCACTCACTACTGCTGGCTTAAGTACTGGTAATTCTAACTAACTTAAGATTCTAGATTCTTAAAGATTCGTACATAATTAACTTCCCTTGAAACAAAGATGAGAGGAAATACCCTGTAATTATATATCATAGAAACTCTCTCTCTCTTATCTCTCTCACATCCCCATCTGAGGAAAAATTATCGTTCGAACCTTTAAGAATACAGCATCACAAACTGTACAAGCATCACATAATGTACTGTTATGTTATGGCACACATGGTCAGGGCTACCAACACTCCTCACAGTCCTGCCAATAGTGAGCATCACCCCTCTCTCTCCCACCCATGAATGATATAGATCTGTTTTTGTATCTCACTTGTCTCTAGATTATTAGTTTATTTGTTATTTCTTCATATTAGGTGAGAATTTCTTAGTCAACAGATAGAACTTTTATTATGCCACTTCAAACCAGATCTAACCATATTGTGGTGGCCAAACTAAACCTTACCTAAATAGTACTGTACAGTATATCCATGGTTAGGCCAGGTAAGGGAAGCTCTGGGTGGCTCATGTCTCTCATCACTTCTAGTAAATAGTTTATTGTTGTAGCTTGATTAAATAGGTAGATAAATTACTGTAGTCTACCTTGAGGTCTAGAGACACGTGCATCATACACATTACCACACAGCACTGCACACCCCTATTCAAAATATGAGAAAAGCTGTACCCGAGTTTTTGTATATTGCCATATTATGATTATTTTGGTCTTGTTTTGATAACCAGATTTTTCATTTTGATTTACTATTACTGTGGCTTTTTTTTTTAGTTAGATATTTTGGTCAGAGCAAAATATGATTGTCTCTTCTCGTAAGCGTATGCAGCAGCTGATACTCAACTAATTTTGACGTATCTTTGCATATTTTGTACATATTTGTTACGACTTCACCGCACACATCTATGTTATCACATACCCTCTGTTGTGCTATGTGTCGCTGATTTATGTTGTTTTGTACATATTGTGGCAACATGGTCGTGTCTGGTGGCTGAGAGTCGCCTTAGGGAACACTTGCTCTCTACATCTGCTATGCTTGTGGTTGATGTTGGATTCTCCTTACGCTGTTGCAGTTGTTGTTTGTGCTCTTTCAGGTGTAGTGTCCTAGAGTATAAATGTTGCATTTCACTTAAAGTAGACTGTGTCTGTGCATGGATGTGTTGTCCACGGCCACCATGTTTATACTGTATTTTATTAGCTAAAGGTGTTATTTGTTAGTGTGATTTTAATTTCAACATTTCTATCTGTAGCTGGCATCTTCCGTGTCTTTAATAGCTATGTAGGTGCCCAGTAATCTGTTATGACTTAAGTACTATTACATGATACTCTTATGGTCATTACCATCATTACCCATCAGCTGGTAGTTGGTGAGGGATAGTTGTAAGATTAAATGATCCAAAGGAAGTGTTGGGAAGGTAAATAAAGACAGATACATAAAACAAAAGACAACAGATACCAAGAATTAATGAACCAGAACATCAAGAATAGGGATACAGTGGTCAAGTGGGTACAGCACTTGTGTTTCATCCCAGGGGTAACTTGTTTACATTTGGGGCACCTGTAGTGTGTTCAGGTGTGATTGCAGTACTGGCCACATTGTATTTTTGTATAATAGAGGCTTAGTACAGTCTTCAGTGTGCTGTATCCATTCTGTATTGTCCTTAACTGGTTCGTAGTAACTATTGTGGCAATGGGGTTTGGCTGACATGTCAAAGAGGTTTAGCAAGACACATACCTACAGTACATATGAAGTATAGACAATTCAAGTCTTTTCTTCTGCCTCTTTTGTATGTCTCCTGTCTGTACAGTAGTATAGAAATTCTCATGTACAATATCTGTCACATTTTATAAGATATATTCCCTGTAGTTGTAGTTAAATCTGTAGGGAGAGTTAACTGAAGTGAGGTAGTTAGGTGATTGGTGTTCCTCGTGATGGTCAGGAGGGCGTGTTGGGATTGGGCCGGGATTCAGATGCAGGCTGGGATACCTCTCTTGCCTCGGCCCGCAGCCGCAATGCCTCTGTCCGGGAATCGGCCCGCAGCAACACCTCCATGATGAGTAACAACACCTCCGCCCGCAGCAACAGGTCTTCTGGTGGTCTTAACGGCTCTTTACCCTCCAAACTCAGTCCCCGCCCCTTCCAGGTACCGTACATAGTAATCCTAATCCTCCAGAGTCATACCCTTATCCCTCAGGGTGCAGTACGTAGCGTCCCTCCACTATCAGACCCGGCCACATTAAGGTACTGTACGAGGAAGCTCTCCCAACTCAGTGTGTCTCCAGGTGTTGTGTGTGACATCATTTCTACCCACTTCTGTGTTATATTCTTTACCCCTGCTGCTACTCTTCAGAATCAAACGGTAAATATTTGGGGCTATTATGGGAGGTCGGTAGCCCTTGAAATGTAGTCCCCCCCTCAAGAGTCCTCCAAAGGTACTCAGGTTACTCTGCTTCAGTCCCCTGGTTTGATGCCCTTGCAGGTGCTGTTGTACTGTATTGTGGCCTCCCTGCATATGTTCTGATCATCCACATATACTTTCCAAGGTTCCTCTAGGTACAGTAATGTGGATTCCTCCCTCCAGACTCTACCCCCTGCCACCTATAGATATATGAAGCATCCCTACCAATCACTGTCCTTCATTCTTCAGGCATTGTAAGTAACGAGTGACCCTCAACAGTCGGCTTTGATCCCCCGTGTGAATGTAAGTACAGCACAGTGTCATCCCTCAAAAAAAAAAAAGAGAAAAAAAATGTCCACATCTCCCATTCATCCTAGTGATTATTTTGACTCACTCTGTTTATTGTCCAGAGGAGGAACGTCTTGTCAGAATCAACGACTGATTTGACCTTCTTAAATTAATATCTCGACTTATTTTTGTCCATGACCTGATATGTGTGTTGTTGTCTCTGTGGCCGGACTAGTACAGACCAACCTTGTCGAATGAATAGTTTTGGTTTAAGCCTCAATTCCCTGTGAGTGAATTATTGAATGTTGGACTTTAATCTCTATGAATGTTGAACTTAATCTCTGTATCTGTGAATGTTGGACTTAAATCTCTGTGAATGTTGGACTTTATCTCTGTGAATGTTGGACTTAATCTCTGTATCTGTGTGAATCCCTAAATGTACATGCGACTTTGGACGTAAAAATTGAGTTTATTTACGAGATAACTTATTTTTTTGGTCCCGTTTTTATCTTCATTTATATATTATCATCTTGTATGTTTCAGAGTTTTATATATGGGATAGTGTGCTCATTTATCTATAACTTGTACTGTACTTGTTCCAAACTGATGTCTTTAAACTATGAAGATAATGACTACCTGTTTGTATAGTAATTACCTTGAGTATTCTAATAGTTAAGGATTTGTTAATTTGTTTTGGTCTTTTTTTATGTATTTTTTAAGTGATGATAATTGGTCTTGATTCATATTTATTAATTTGTTATTATAGTGAAGGAAGAAATTGTTTGTTGTTTTTTAGTATTGTATTTACTTTCCATTATTTCTTTCAGGTTTCTATGTGTCTCTAAGTGTCCTGCTCACTTCTGAGTCATACAAGTTGTTCCTTATTATAGTTCCACCCGAGTCTTCCACCATTCTTGTATTCTCCTTCAGTTGTTCCCCAAAACACTGCCTATTAGACCTCATGTCCTATATAAATACCCATGTACAGTGGCTGGTGTGTTTTGTTAGATGTGGCAACTATGTACAATGTTTAGTCTGGCTTTATCTGAGGTTCCTTAAGTGCCATTCTGGGGAGTTTTAATATAATGTAAACAAACACAGAGTTGCCACATCTCACAAAACATGCCATCTACTGTACCAGGCATAAGTGCAGGTGACTGTAGCTTAGAGTACTTTAGAGTACCATTCATACATGCATCTGTCACACCTTGAGACCGTTACAGATAATGGAGAGGGCGGAGAAGATCGACAAGCTCCTCCCCGCCAAGCAGGCCACACAGCCCGACAACGGTGATGGGAGCGGGGGAGTCGTGGGGGACATCGGTGGCGGGAGGACGAAGGGAGCGAGGAAGAGAACCCCCTCCAGCGCCTCATAGCTCCTCTCATCAGTGTGTTCCAGCTGGTGATCCGGTCCTCTTACATAGCCACCAATATTGTTATGATGGTCAGTTCTTCTCAATACAGTTCTTAGACTAATACAAAAACCATGATGTTAATGGTTCTTTTGTAGGAGGTAGGTCAGGTGTGTGAGGTAGGTCAGGTGTGTGAGCTAGATCAGATGTATGAGGTAGGTCAGGTGTATGAGGTAGGTCAGGTGTATGAAACCTTGCAAAACATCGACAAAATCAATCAAGTATGACATCTCATTTTGTGGTCAAGGGCTGAGATGAATGGCCTAGATCCTCTGTTACCTCCTAAGAGCTATTAGTATTGGCCTGAACTAAAGGATAGGGTCCCTGTATCCATCATCATGAGGTGTAGTAGGAGTATATATAGTGTTTTAACTCCAGGAGGAAATGCTTCACTAGCCATACAAGACGACCACCATATTGACTAGTGCCTTGTGCCTTAACTGCTCCTGGTGTGACAAGATGAAGGATTGTTGTGTAGCAATTGTTCAGTTTTCATGAAGAATACAACCTGCTACTGATAGACCCTACCTTAGGATACCTGATGGGCTCTGATGTGTGGTCTTCTGTGGACTGAGGTGTCATGTCTTGCTGATTTTGGGGGCATTCATTCATAGAATTTTATATTTCAGTCATTTATTTTTCACAACTATACATTCTGTTTTTTATATATCTACAAATATATTTTATATCATCATGTCTGGTATTTAGTGATTTGTGGAATTTAATAGAATACTGTAAAATTTCTACGTTTTTATATGGTGAAAAATTACAGTTAGTTATGTTTAATAATGTGAATTCTCTTGTGGTACAGGCTTGGAGTATAACTTACCATAGCTGGCTGACGTTTGTGCTGCTGTTGTGGCGGTGTTGTGGATGATACCCAACCAACGCGCTGCAATGCTACGCTGTTCTCCCTTCCTTGTTGTATATGCTGAGGTCAGTACTACATTATTCATTACCCATAACAACATACCAAAACCAAGTCAGAATTTATATATGAAACATTAATTTAGCATTTTTAGATGAGTTAATGTCAGATACAAAATTTCTGTATTAGAGTTATTGTACTGTATTTTATGTAATCATTAATGGTGTTGTAGCTGCTGCTGGTTCTCCAATACATATACTGTATGGACCTGACGGACGCTGAGTTACCCAGTCAAGTGGAGGCGGTGAATCTCGGTCAGATTGGTCTGGTCAAGTACCGCTACTTGCCGTGTAAACCCTTACTGGTCAAGGTGAGCTCCACACTACACTATTATTATTATTTTTTTTTTTTTTTTTTTATTCTATACTGTATTTTCTTTGTTGTTTATTTCCCATCTCTTCCTCATCTTTGTACAGTCACCCACAAAAGTCCTGACACCTCTCCTGCTGTTCCATAAACCCCAAGATTCAGACTCATGAACCTGAAACATTAAACACTGATACATTATTCTTCATGAGTCTGAATCTTGGGGTGTATGGTTCAGGAGGAGAGGCAACAGGTCTTTTGTGGGGTGACTGTACAGTGTTGTCAGGGCCACATGTAAGATATCCTATGGATATTTCCAATTACAGTAAAGCTTTGTTGTTATAAGAGGTCCCTTCACTAAAACTTCCCTAAAGTGCCAAACTAGAACAAAGAACAATAACATTTAAGGTGATTTAGATGTGATTTATCAATATGAAACAGGAGAAAACTTACACAGATAGCCTGGGCAGTAATCACTATGCTATATAAACTGGTATTATTGTTTAGTACCAACCATCCAGAAATAGGATAAGATATTCATACCCAACTATGATTCTTGGATATACTATGGATTTGTGTACGTATGTTCATTGAGCTTATGTAATGACTTCTTCCTGTTACTTCTCTTGTGTGTCTTTCATCCACAAAAAATATATACAACTTTGGACTAATGTTTGTTCCAGGTGCTGTACACGACCATGTTTTGGATCACACTGCGTCAGTACGTGCAGGAGGTGATTGAAGTACCAAGCGTGAAAGTCACAGCTGCCGTGACCAGCCCTTTACTGTTGCTGTTAGTACCACCACCACTGGCCAGCCTGTCACCACACTCGTCTCTTCCCACGGTGAGAACAGTAGCTAGTTGTATACAGTACAGGCTCTGATTTTGATTCAAGAACTCTAAATAATGACTTTATTTTATGTGTATTAAACAGGACCTAAAAATAAGTAGGAATAAAGTTTGATAATCTTTACAGGAAACATCAAATCATTGTTGTTTTGCCTTATACATACAGTACTGTATTTTGGTTTGGGTCCAAACTTGGATTTTGTTGAAAATCTAAGAACAATATAGGTACTCCTGAGCTGGTTTGGAATTTATGGTCCACGATTCAATTGGGAGTAATTAGTAGTAATGATGCTTGGAATATTTTAATGAATTTTTCAATGCTAATTCCCCGCCAACTATGGGTTTCCGAGGTGCTATTTTGGTGTTTTTGTGTTAATCTGGAAATACTTAATTAAACCCCTTAAATTCCAATTCTGAGAGAAAAGTATACTGTACAGGTATTAATCATTTACCTTGAGGACTGACCATGAAAGAGTGAAGGTGAGATGAATGGCTAAAAAGATTGCCGCATTTACACTTCTCGTTTGAGGGTAATTCCTGTAAGATACTGTACAACGATTACTGAATTTTTACTTGCATGACAGAGACTCTCAATTCACGTTAACTTTTGTCCTTCTCTCTAAACAGACGAGTCGACGGCGTCTCCAGTAATGCAGCGTTTGGGACAGTGGGTGCGCGGCCTCTTAGTCAAATTTTGGATTTGGGTCGTCGCCATCATGCTCTTCGTCTTCGGCATCCAGGGCTCAGAAGTCGTTATTTTTAGGATCATGTACATGGTTCTGTTCCTCATCTTCACCATCACCTTCCAAGTAAGTTAAGAAATTTGTCTTATTAATGACAGATAGATATAAACAATTAGATGTGTTTAAATCCATGACCCCTGACCTAACTTTCCTACCGCAGTTGTCATATTCTGCATGGCGAAACTTCCTCTATGGATTCTGGCTCACCGTCATCATCTACCAAATGCTGGTGTTGGTGCTCACGTACACTTACCAGTTCGACAACTTTCCCCAGTACTGGCAGAACTACACCGGTATTCCGATTCAACTTCAGAATGACATGGGTCTTGAGGTATATAGTACATGGGTCTTGAGGTATATAGTACATGGGTCTTGAGGTATATAGTACATGGGTCTTGTGGTATATAGTTCATGGGTCTTGAGGTATATAGTTCATGGGTCTTGAGGTATATAGTTCATGGGTCTTGAGGTATATAGTACATGGGTCTTGAGGTATATAGTTCATGGGTCTTGAGGTATATAGTACATGGGTCTTGAGATATATAGTTCATGGGTCTTGAGGTATATAGTACATGGGTCTTGAGGTATATAGTTCATGGGTCTTGAGGTATATAGTACATTAAAGTTTATTTATTCATGATGAAATATGAATCAAAAGAGGTTTACCAAATTGGAAAACTTAACTCAAGAAATAATTAATATCAAGTCATGTTTAGTTTGTAATAAATGTAGTTAAACGTAGCCCTTGAAACATCACTCGGACTACCGTACTATATTAAATGTAGTCCCTAACACCCGGGTCGTTTCCTCAGGTTTATGACACTGGCCGTCTCTTCGTCAAGCTCATGACTCCCACCTTCTTTGTCATCGTCACCATCATCCAGGTCCATTATTTCCACAAGGACTTCCTGGAGCTCTCGGACATAGAGCAAATGTAAGACGATTAATAGTTTTATTACTGTCTTATAAACTCTGAGAGATGGATCATTATTTCCTGTAAAGCTTTTCATTATGTTTGAAGCTATTTATGCATCAGGAGGTTAAGAGGATAAAGTAAAGACCAATGTGTCCTCTTTCAGACCTGATCAACCTGTAGTTAAAGAGGTGCCTAAGAAGGAGACTAAGGTGGCCATACCCAACCGCCCAAATCTTCTAGAGTCGTGTATGCTCGAGGACGTCAAAGGTAATGCATAAGTTTTGTTGAAGAGGAGAAATGTATTTTAATGACCCTTAGAATGTCTGTGGTGAAAATGGCATCCCAATTTTTCCAGTATTATTTCTTTTGTGGGATATATTGATGACTGTCTCCCTCTTATAGTAAGGCAGATATGTGCTGATTCTGAATCTATGATCGATATTTCTATTGCTGAGTAATTAGTGGTCGTAATGATGCTTGGAAGATTTTAATGAAATTTTTCTTCATGCTAATTACTGTACTCGCCAACTATTGCTTCCGAGGTGATTGGTTGGTGCCAAATTACATAATGTCTTAGTGTACTTTCCTCCTTATGGACAGCTGTGTTGGAGCACTATGGACAGAAGGTGTTGGTTAGGATACAAGACACCATGGCTGCTGCTATGGAGTTAGGCTGGCGTTTCCTGGAGTTACACTTGATGAAGATTGTCCTCGGCTCCGTCATAATGCTCGCCTGCTACGATGTCAGTACACAAACAGAAGTTTTTGCCCCAAGATGCATGAACCTTCTTTTTTATTTGAGTTTATGTAGGATTTTGATGATGATGTTTATACATTGTTACAGTATCCATTGGTCCTTCCGTAAGTGACCTGTCAATTCCTAATAATGCACTCGTTTGATGTCGTATGCCTGTTCATCGGCAATTGCATCATATTATGGAGCTCTCAGTCCTCTATATCAAAATTCAGTGCAAATTTCTAACCTATGACCTGTCCACAGGTTTGTGCTCTCCACTGGGCCTTTGCTGTGCTGGCAACAGTAGCTGTGCCCTGCCCGGAGAAGATCCAGACAGCCATCTGCCGCACCTGCGTTGTGTTGTCTTCCCTTCTCCTCATCGTCAGGATGATATACCAGATAGATTACATAGACCCTGAAGGCTGGGCAGCTAACTGTTCTGTAGGTTTAATTCCTGGTTTATTAACTCTCAACTTCACTTTGTCTCTACTTCTTCAAATGTTAATGACAGTGTTGAGCAGCACTTGTTGCTCTTTAATGAAGGGGATAGACCAAAGGTTATGTATAGCTTGACAGTGGTGAAGAGGATAAAAGTAAAGAGGATGACTCACCTTAAGAATGCTCTACCTTTTTAAATAATGTTATCTCAGCAAAGAATTCTTATCAATATACTGTACATAACTTCTTAAGCTATGTATTAATTGTGTTTAATGTTGAGTAAGCACGGTTAAGATATTTGGCAGCTGTATGATAACCTGACGTGGACACCGTACCCACTGAATGAGACGGCCAACAACGCTGCCTGGCTCGGCCTCACCAAAGCTCCCAATCTACCCAAGTACTTGAAAGGTTACATAGGTAAGTTGTCTTCCCTAATATAATCTCTTACTGTACAGTGTATAGTAGAATTCTCTTGTAAATGATAACCAGAAATGTATTACAGGCACATTTAGATTTTCCATGTACAGTTGACTGAGTATCTTGTTTATTAGTTTTTTTTTTTCATCAAATTGCTGCTTTAGACATAATATTAATGCTGTGTTATTTTGCAGGTATAATTGTGGTGATCACAGTACAAGCGGTGGTGGTCATCAGACAGCAGTACCAGCGTAAGCTAACAGGACTACCACCACCCCCTCTTGGCGTCCTCTTCACCAACATCACACGAGCGGTGGCTGATGACGGCATACCAGAGTGCACAAAGTTCCTCCTTAATTATGGTTTCTACAAGTTTGGTGTTGAGGTGAGGGTTCATTTGGATTTCTAAACCTAATGTAAGTTGCTTGATTAAATAACAAATTGTCTTTACACAGTTTTTATCTGTGTCCGGGATGTCTGAGATGCATACACTGAATTTCCATTAATCTGATCAATTGGGGAGGAAAAGTGGACCATATTTTGAAAATTTCTTTATTTTCCTGAGAATATTTCCTTAGTCATGAAATGAAACCATTTATGGTTTATTTTACAAACATTTACCCTAATACATCCATGTTTCACTGAATATGAAATACAACTGCACACTTGTGCCCACACACAGTACCTCAGCTACACACTCTTTTGGAATTTATGGTAAATATATATATACTGTATATTTTTACAATAGATATGTCTGATGAGCTTAGTGGCTGTGATTGGTACTCGCCTCGACCTGTACTCGCTCTTCTATGCTGTATGGCTCTGTTATTTTTACAATCGACAAAGGAAGGACATTGCATATGTCTGGAAGGCTTTTGTCATCTTCATTACTGTGATGATACCTTTCCAGTACTTAATGTGTGTTGGCATCCCACCAGGTATATGTACAGGTGAGCACATAATGCAAATTTAAGTTATGTAAATTTAGTTTGTTAGTATGCTACCCATGACCTGCCTTAACCTAACCCAACTATATTATTCATTCAGAGTTGATAGTGCTAACATATAGTACTGGATATATATCTTTAAAATAACCAAGATTGCTGTACCACCAACAGACTACCCTTGGGCTGGCACGATGAACACAGAGCTACGAGAGTGGCTCTTCTTCCCAGACTTTGTCAAGTCACCAGAATCCTACAAAATTGTCAGTAAGTTGGAACACAAATTGCTTCAGTAGTCTTAGTGTTGCTGGTAAGAATTATTTTCTTTCTCAGGAAGATGGGTAGTCTTTGACTACCTCAGGGAGTGACAACCTCGCCTTGCTAGTTAAGAGGGTGTTTGGAAGTCATATACAGTATATAATGTCCAGTTCCTATTCAGTAAAGGTAGGATGTGATGCAGGACTGATGACTTCTTTCCATGACTACAATACTGTCCATAATTATTTTTAAATAGAGTTTGGGTAGTTGTATTGTGATGTATATAGTACTGGCAGTCCCCAATATATGGAGCCTTTTGTAATTGCCTGGACAGTACTATTTTAAATGTGTTCATTATTACAGGTCGTTGTTCTCTCTCACACTTATCTATATTGTCTTTGCAGCTGATTTTTGTCTGCTAATTTTTGCTGTGTGTCAGCAACGCGTCTTTGAGATTGAGTTTGCCGACGGGGCCGAGTCTTTCGAGGGCGGCAGTAACCGGGAGATTGTCCACGAAGACCCGGAGAGTCTGGTCAACCCCATACCTGACTTTGTTACCTACTCCAGGTGGGTTGTGATGCTATATTGGCAATTCATTCTTATTAGGTGTTACTGTAGTAGAGAGTTATGTACAGTACAGTATATATCTTGCATTATGTATTTTATTTATAGATCCTAATAGTCTTCCAGAAACAAAAGAAAGACTGATTATTTGAGATTCCTTGGGGATTAATACTAATTTTTTAGTTCAAATTCATACCTTCTTGCTTAACAGTTGTGACTGCTTATATTTATATCTGTTTGCTCCACCCAACATGATTTATCAACTATCATATAATTGTGAAAATTTGCTTTATGTTTTTCATCAAATTTTGGCTAGAATTTCTACCACCAGAGAGAAGGATCAAAGTAAGAACATAGATGAGACAGCTTGTGTTGCCATCACTCTCAACAGTTTGTGCTCACATGGTGTTTCATAATTCCTCTTTTTAGGAAAACTGGGGGTAAAAAGTGAGTACAGTACAACAAGTTTTGCACACTATGCTCAACTGGTTTGTTAAAATGCATCATGACTAGTACTTTGTTTTTATAATGTTTGTGTCTTGGCATGGGACTTACCAAGGCATAGATAATGTTGATCACAGGAAATGCAAATAATTTAATACACTGGCCAGTGGCCTTAACCACACTACAAAGCATGATTACTGATGGTTCTACAAGTCAGGTGTAACCCACGGCACATAGTCTGGATATGGGCCCCATAGATCATCTTCTGCGGCCTGCCAAATGCAGTTTTAGTACCTCTCTGTATCTTGCATGAACCTGGGTAGTACTGATCATGAGTTGCACCAAGGATTACCGAGTTGTTTATAGTCCTTGAGTTGCACTACCTGTGACCGCCAACACACTTCAGGAATTACTAAATGGTTCTACTGAAGAAGATTGTACACCCCTGATCTATAAGGATGAATACTGTTGTGGGAAGTAATGTTGTACTGTACATCATGTAATAATATCATAGTTGCTGGTAACACACATAATATAATCAATATTTTGTTATGTGAATTTATATATCGATGACAACTTCCCCACAGTGAAAACATCGCAGTCCTTAGCTTAAGTCACAGTACGTAGATATGTATAAAGAGAAACATCACTTGAGTGAGCATACCAAAGAGCTTTGCAGTTGACAGCTTAGAATGGTTCAAGGTTGTTTAGGTAAATGGTCTTCCTTCTTGTGGTGTATTAAGCAACTTGTTCCTGTATTGTCTTTTTTTGGTCTTGTTGTCTTGTGTCTTGTTCTTGTTTATGTGTGCATGTCTTGTTTGTGCCTCATGTTGCTTACTCTTTTTCTGCCTTGCTTACTTTATTATTTACTTTATACTTATAATGGGGTACAGTATATTAAATGTTTTTTATTTAATTATGGACTCTCATTTATAATGATTCAATAATAAAGAGAATACCTGCCACTCTTAACACTTGATAGTTATTCAAATCCATCCACCTTTCACTTTATTTACATTACAGTACCTCACACTCCGTTAACACAGGGTGAAGCTCCCGTATCCTTCATTCTAACATACGACAACTCCCTAAATAGAGGTTTTACTGTATGGAGAAGTGCAAGTCAGTGTATCTTACAGTAACCAGCCCAGGTGACTGTTATGTTCCTAAGTTACACCAGACCCCTGATAGCTGAGGCTGATGTAGTCACTCACTTTAAAGGCTGAGTTATCTATTTATATAAGGTCATGTATTGTGAGTGCCAGCATACATTGTACAGTTGGTAACAGTATAATAGTTTCTTATGGCAGTAGTAGTTGCCATTTTACATCTGTTGCCATTTTACATCTCAGAATAATGACAGTCATCTGGGTACTGAGTTGCCATCTTGTGACTGAAGTGGCTTTCTTCCTTGCTGTTGGTAGAGTTAACTTTTAAGTACAGTGATTCATTTTTATTTCTCTGTTTATATTTTGAAGTTTTATTTTACTGCTACTTTACAATTTCCACATTACAGTATATATGTTATGTGTTTGTATAATGTTCATTGAATTAGTTACTACTGTTATGCTTATGTGTTATGTGATAAATGTACCTTATGTGATGACCTAAAATGTATCTTATGTGATGATCTTAAGTGTCTTTTGTGATGACTGTAAATCTCTTATGTGATAACCTCAGATGTTTTATGTGATGACCTTGAACACTATCTAACACGATGAACTTAAAAACTGTTTCTCATGCAATGACTTGAAACAGTATGTCTTGTATGATGACCTAAACCATTGCTGTAGTAAGACATAGCTGTAGGATAATGAAGGTAGAGATGTAGACTAAATTATATTAAACCTCACATATAATATAACTCCATATAGTAACTGGAAAGGTAATTAATATAACTAGACTCTAAATAAAACAAATAAAATCGCTGCGTATAAATATAATTGTAGACGTCTGTTTAAATATGTCTTGTGTCGTGAGTTAAACTGTTGTGTCGTATGGGGAGTTTGTCAAGTACTGCCACCTGCCGCCATTGCTGCTTCCCACCCTGAGGCCTTTTCCCACCAACATTCAAGGCCACAGATGACATATGGTAGCTCCAGGTGTCTATAGATGTCAGTACTGATGAAGGAAGATAAATGGGACTACTCATGTCACTTGGTTAGTTATGCTGTAGCCACCACGGACCAATATGCCACCCAGCACCTCCCTCCAGACCCTTCAGAAGATGCAGAAGTGTCCCAAGTTTGTTACCTCAAGGAAGTATCACAAGATTCTCCTCAGTAGCGATGAAGAAGATGAAGTATCGGGTCTGACGTACACTACCAGCGTCAGAAACAAGTGGAGAGAGATTTATTGCTTAGAAAGGTTGATGGGTTTGTGCTACTACATGTTCTACGCCATCATGTGCCATACGGAAAGCAGGAATATAATTTATGTTTGCGTTGAATAATATAATTTCATAATTTTTCTAAGCAGTCGTTTTTATGTTACATACAAGGTAGGAAGTTGTGGAGGGTGTGTGCAGTTTAGGAATTCAGATAATTTTACACTCAATATAATTTAGTTTTATAATATTCTTCAAGGTTTTGGTAATGTTAATTTTATCTACTTCCACATAAGGGACAGAATAATGGTAAGTTTACATCACATTGAATAATAATACCAATCCTTCCAGCTGCCTTATTTAGTCATTATTGTCCCCCTCAGATATTTTAAGTAGGAAAATTAATTGAAATATGAGTTTAAAGGTTTGTCTATTGTTTAAGTAAATTGTAAAATAAAAGTACATAGTGTAAATTAATAGAGAAAATAATAGCCAACTAATGTGTGTACTATTGAGTGTCCAGGTAGGCATATCAGGAGTCATTCACATGGTACATTTCCTGTGTTTGTCTTCTCGTTGTTTTTCCTTTAGTTGTATGTGATTATATGTTCTTTTTACCTCAGTTTCCAGAAGCAATTATAGAATACCATAAATTAAACAGATACACCTGACAGCTCATTAACACACACCTTAGAACTCATTAACACGATACAGGTTAATTATCTCTCTTACAGGAACTACCTAGACTTGGTGAAGGTGGTCATCTTCTTCACGTCTTACTGGATCACGCTGGCCGTCATGTTCCTGGGAGGTACGAACCGCGTCACGCTCTTTGCCATGGGTTACGTCCTCGGGGCCTTCATCTTCCTGTGGCAGGGGAATGAGTTCTACCTCCGGCCTCTGTCTAACATCCTCAAACTGTGAGTGTAGAGAGGCTGTGTAGTTTTGTGGAGTTGTGTAGTTTATTGCTGTGTAGTTTTGTGGAGTTGTGTAGTTTATTGTTGTTTAGTTTATTGTTGTGAAGTTTATTGCTGTGTAGTTTTGAGGAGTTTTGTAGTTTATTGTTGTGTAGTTTGTTGTTGTGTAGTTTATTGCTGTGTAGTTTTGAGGAGTTTTGTAGTTTATTGTTGTGAAGTTTATTGCTGTGTAGTTTTGAGGAGTTTTGTAGTTTATTGTTGTGTAGTTTATTGTTGTGTAGTTTATTGCTGTGTAGTTTTGAGGAGTTTTGTAGTTTATTGCTGTGTAGTTTATTACTGTGTAGTTTTGAGGAGCTGCATCATTTATTGCTGTGTACTTTTGAGGTGTTGTCACTTTATCACTGTGTAATTTATAATGAATTAGTTTGATGTCTGTTTATGTATACTGTATGTGTTTGTATAGAGTGGAAATATAATGGTGGAATTGAATATGTATTATCTTAGGCGGCAAGTCGGTGCATCAGAGAATAGATTTAGCACTGATACTTGTCTTAACTCCTTGTGTGGATTTTATATACAGGGGTATTAGAAAAAAGAGATGAACGCAAGTCCTTTCCTCCGCAGATGGAATTACTTACTGGGGTACAATGTCGGGGTGATCGTAGTGAAGACGTTACTACAGCTGCTGGGGTGTGTGTTCCTGGCACCTCTCTCCATGAACGTGTGTTGGCTCGTACAGCTCTTTGGTATAGCCTGTGTGAAGAAGTTCGGAGATGAGTCTGATGAAGAGATCGTGGCAGGTGAGTTCAAATTTATAATGAGTTCTTATAGATTTTTTTAAAAGAGTTTGATGTTGTTTTATGATTTTTAGCCATATATATGTTGAGCTGTTCTCTTGAGTGGTATTACAGCTCCTCTCTGACTTACGACCTACTTGACTTACGACCACCCGCACTTACGACCTGCCTCATTCGTACCAAAATTTTGTCAAATTACGTATTTTCGAGTCCCAACGTCAGTACACAGACAAAATTTTCGTTTGTAATTCACTTTAAAATGGCTGGCAAGCTTAAAAGTGAGAGTTTTGTGGTGCTGAGAAGAAAAAGAGACACCCATTTTAGATTTTCTACATATTATTTAAGCATTTTCGACTTACGACCTGGATTTGGATCCCTAACCCCGTCGTAAGTTGGGGAGGAGCTGTATATAGTAGTGTGTTTTTTCATGTTGCCTTTGTTGCTCATAAACTGGATACTTTGTTTCATGTTATTCAGGACCAAAACTGTATAACTTTTAGTTGTTCTTCAGTGTGTGTGTCTGTGTGTGTGTATCTGTGTGTGTGTACAAAACAGATTGTTTTAGCTTGTCTATGGACCTAAAAATTAGTCTTATGTTAATTTCGTTCCCTTTATATTAACCCCTTAACTGAGAGATACATGAAAATTTCTCTCTGTCTTAATGAGTTACATTGATCGTTATCTTGACGGGTAACATCAAGTATATCAGATCTTATAGAGAATTTCCCCATGTCAAGTATTGTTTATGGCAAGAGCTGTATATATGGTTTGTCTTTAGTGTTCATGTTTAACCCTGTGTTGCTGTTTGTCCATGATAATAACCATAAATCTACTTTCTCACATTATCACTCTCCAATACACTGTGTGAGTATTAACCTTTGTCTGTGCTTCTTGTTGCCATAGTGTTGCTTGCTTTGTAATATGGAACACAAGATTAAGATGAAAATGTTAAGAAAGGTTGATTAATACTTTTTTTATTCATTCTTCAGCCCTGAACTTCCAAACTTGTGGTAATGAACTTTAATAATGACAAATATTCTTAAATGACTTGACGTGTAATCATCATCATCATAACTAAACCCAATATATAATGTGAATATACAATAAAATTTCCCTTTACTGGATGTCCTTTAACTGAGAATCTTTAATAACTGGATATAACAGTCATTGTGTTTTGTCTGAGATGTTCCCTCAGTTCCAGTTACTCATGTGAAAATTCCTCATCTGTCAGGTTGATAATGTGGAGTTTCTTATAGTCTCATGGTTGTCTGTGGTCTAAAAGGGTGTATTGGTGCTATAGAGAAACATTTCCCAGTAGTTATCATCCCCTATTTATCAGAGTCATTATTCTGGTTAAGGGAGACTTTACTGTATAATATAGCATTAGCCTTGGATATATCCCTGTAATATTTTTGGAGCATTGTTGCACAGCCTGGCCATATATATATAATCTTCAGTTACCCTCATAGGAAGTATTAACACCGCGTCAAGGATCAGATATGGAAGTACAGTAATGATCCCTTGATGTGTATGGTACTGTAGCCACCCCAGCATGTAAAACTCCTCACCACATCTCTTTAAAAGTATTGTTATAGATTATTTTTCTCAGATGTTTATTTGAGGAAAAGTTTAGGGTATGTGATGCAAAAGGTTGTGTCCCTTTACTTGGGTGTTCTTGTAGCTGGTGGCACAGTAAACATATGGGGATATAAACACTGGCAGGTTGTGGGGGTCACTTTGCACACACTGTACTTCCTTCCTCCTCGACTTACTAACATACGATTCACATTTAACACACGCTTACATAAACAAGTCATTATTTCCTGCTCATATGAATTTCAAATTAAAGAAAGCACTTGAAACTGTATGTTACATGGTATAGGTTGTGCATGCCTTCACACTTTGCAGTTCAGTTCTCAAAAATGCTTATACCTTTCACGTACTGTAGTATATTTCCTTTTTACCATATTGACAGTTGCCCAGCTGGATGCAAAACCTGTGCTTAAAGATACTGTAGCCCTAACAGGAGCTTTCCACCAAGGCCTAAGTGGGGTCATGTTATGAACTCCACACATGTAATTCACACCTACAATTATCCCTGGTTTTGTCCCTCTCCTCCCTCCCCCTCCCCAGAATTTTCTTTTGAATTAGTAAGTTATTATTTATCTTCTACTGTAATCTTATTTTGGTATCAGAGTTCCCAAGAGTTCACAATGTCAATTTTATTACCACAGTTGATCTGCATAAAGGAATCGTGATTAACTTATCAATTTTTTTCTGTTTTTCTCGTTGTCATATACGTGTATGGTGATTGTATCCAGAATAATTCATGTTTAATAGAACATCATTTATTATATTGTTATGAATGTTTACAGATTTGGCTGACCACTGTGCTGTTCCCAAGTCAGAGGCTGGACTTATGTGGGATGGCATATGCTTTGGGTTCCTCTTGATGCAGCGCCGACTATTCTCGTCCTTCTACTTCCAGCATCTTGTCACGGAGATGAAGGCACAGACAAAGCTAGCTTCCAGGTAGTCTTTATACTTGTCTTGGTCTGTGTTTGTAAATAGTTGTTTGTTTACAGGATATCTCGTGCAAATTTTGAGGCAAGGAAGTTTGGAGAATAGTCAAATTATAATAGATTAAAAATGATGAAATTATGAGTTTGGATGTTTTAATGAATAACATAATTTACAGTATAAACAAGTAATTTTAACTATTAAGTACTTTGAAGATTACAAACACAGTTATTTCTCACTCATTCCTCTTTATTTTTTTTGTACTTTATAGATAAGAAATAATTGTTTGAGATACAGTGTAGTAGTTGTTAATATTGTATTTACATCATATTATCTCTAGGGGCGCCGAGCTGATCGCAGAGCTGATGCAGAAAGAAATAGCGGAGCAACAAGCGGCCGAGCGAGAGGTCCTCAACAAGATCAAGGAGAAGATGGAGAGAATCAAGGCCTCGCAGCAGCTGGTTCAGAGTCAACAGTGTCGTGAGCCAGCGAGCCATTACGAAGGTGAGACTCTGACCAGTAACGTAACTCTCACTAGAGCCATCCTACGTCCTCTCCTGAAGGTACCGAGTATTGGATCTTGTATAGCTATTTGCGATGGCTTCAATATATTCTCCTGACTGATGAAAGTAAAGTAGATTAATAATTGTGTGAACTTAATGATTCTATGGCATGAAGAGACTTATTTTATAATTATTTAGTTTATGCATTGGTATTTGCTTATGATTTATTTATTTTGGTTAAGGATGTGAGCCAGGTAGTGCCTATTGGTGTGTTCTTTTGGTAATTGATGTTGTGTAACTCGCACTTTGAGCCAAATCTAATTCATGGTCATTGTTTTTACTTTATGATGAGGTGAAGAATAATTATGTTTTGGTGTTTTATTTAACCTAACCCGTCTCTCCTTTTTTCCATCTTTATCTCAACCCATTTTATCGTCTTTTTTTTTTTTTTAGTAAACGATCGAGAAGTAAGTAAACAAATATACGTACACTCCCTCCACAAACTATCTTTACGAAGAGATCCGATGAATTACAAAATGAACACTAACCTCCATTGTCTCGGTAGCGTTGTCAAAATCCCTCGGCCATTGTGTCATATTATCTCACATAAAATATCATAAAGATACATTTTGGAAAGAGTGTACCATCCATACTATAAATGTAAAGATATATATTATAAATGTTACCTTATGTTTCAACCCCCCACCCAGCAGGACCTATGACCCCGAGCTGCTGCCATCCATAACGTCTCTCCGACCTCCAATTATTATCTGTTTTTCTGTATATACAACGAGACTTCTATTTAATGGACTAGATGGGAGAGTGTAGTTCGTTTTATCGAGGTTCATTAGATGTGAAACCTCCTTATAACAGAGTACTATATATGGGAGAGTACAGTTCATTATATCAAGGTCTTTTTAGATGTGAAACCTCCATATAACGAACTATACTGTACTCATTAGATTGATGTCTGCTAAATCGAGGTTTTACTGTCTGCTTGAAAATTATATTATTATTAAATTTATCGAGCATTTGTAGAGTATGTGAGGTAACAGTATGTGAGGTAACAGTGTGTGAGGTAACAGTGTGTGAGGTAACAGTGTGTGAGGTAACAGTATGTGAGGTAATAGTATGTGAGGTAACAGTGTGTGAGGTAACAGTGTGTGAGGTAATAGTATGTGAGGTAACAGTGTGTGAGGTAACAGTCTGTGAGGTAACAGTGTGTGAGGTAACAGTATGTGAGGTAACAGTCTGTGAGGTAACAGTATGTGAGGTAACAGTATGTGAGGTAACAGTATGTGAGGTAACAGTGTGTGAGGTAACAGTGTGTGAGGTAACAGTATGTGAGGTAACAGTATGTGAGGTAATAGTATGTGAGGTAACAGTGTGTGAGGTAACAGTGTGTGAGGTAACAGTGTGTGAGGTAACAGTGTGTGAGGTAACAGTGTGTGAGGTAACAGTATGTGAGGTAACAGTATGTGAGGTAACAGTATGTGAGGTAACAGTAGGTTGTCTTTACCTCAGTAACCAGGTACCTTAACTGTGTCATCTCCCTGTACAGCTTTAAAGTGTTGCCAGCTTCCGTGTCACTCATCATGATGGTACACTTGTTTTGTTTTTGTCACAAGACCTGTAGAATATATTGTAAACAGAGATATATATACTAGATGCCTGTTGTATGTGCCGTGTCCACATTAAGTAGCAGTGCATGTTGATCTCTTAGTGTGTGTTAGTAGAGAGTAAAAACATTGTACCTTTTACTGTACTACTGTACCTTTTGAACTAATACATCTTATGGTACATCCACCCAAATACACATTATACAGGTATTATACTGATATTAATTAGTCATTTACACACCTTGTTATATTTACAGTGAAATTTCTATTTCACGGACTGTATTGGAGAGGAAAGTCCATTATATCGAGGGTCCATTAGATGTGAAACCCCTATTTAACGACTTATATGGAGAGAGAATTCCACCATATGGAGGTCTCACTGTATATTAACTAGTACTACACTAAGACACCATATTACTAGCACCCCGGACATAATTTCTCACTAGCCTCTGAGAGAATTACTTCATCCATCAGTGCAGCAGCTGTTAGGTACTGTAATCTCATCCTGTAGGTAAACAACACATGCTTCCTTGACAATGGTATATAAGTTCTACTGAGGGATTCTTGTAGGTATATCATCCCTCTTGGGTCATAAGTGAGGTGGGGAGGGCCTGTTGATCTTATATTCCAATAGTGTGTTGAGGCTTAGACACAGGGGTACAGTGTTTACATGATGATAGATGCCAGATGCTCAGTTAGGCTCACTGGTGATGTCTATGCATATATATTACACCTATACAGTATCCTAGGTTGTATTGAGGATTTGACACTATACAAAACTGGTTATGATATTCTCCATAGATTTAATACAAAGAATGTGGTTTGGGTTTTTATTTGTTTTCTTTATAATAAACATATTACATCATATTTCAACACAGTTCAATGACAATGTGTTTATATTTTATACATTTTTCTTTCATTTTACACAGAAGGTAGCCACATCTTTCCCTATTTGAAAATAGTTTACGGAGTTTGTCAAGTTGTTACATCATATTGGCAATAACTAACATTTCTTTCAGTGTTTACATTACCTCATAAACAGCATCCATAATGACGGCCTCACCATCCTTTTGTTCATCCATGTCCATCATAACTTGTTGTAGTAATCCCTCGCTGCTTTGCCTTAAGTCCTAAATCTCTTGACAGCTGATCTTCCAAGTTTCTGTTCTCTGCTTTCTTAATACTGTATAGTAGTTTTGTGTAAGCTCATATATAATTGAGTTGTCACCCTTGTGAGGAGATCACTTGAGTCTTTTTAAACACATTTTGTCATGAACATTATGAGATGCAGCATGAACAAGGAACCATAATACAGTACCCAACACAGACCCATCAAGACAACGAGGGTGACCACTGTATCTTATATGGCCTCATGTTTTTCCTCTTATATGCCTCTATAGTAGAAGGAGCTTAGGCTGTTCAGTATTGCCTGTGGATGGCAATTATCACAGATATTGTGTATTATCTGTAGCTGATGTAAGTGTGTGCCCGTAACAGAAGCATGCATGCTCAATTATGCGTCAGTCTTCCCTTTGAAGCTGTGGCATCAGCAGTGCATGTTTCTAATACCCTTGTTTATCCTTGTTACAGCTAACACCTCGGAACAGTTTTCCAATGTCAGTAGTCCCCTACCTTTGGAGATGACCTCGCCCCCTCCCCTGCCCCCCTCCGCAGGTGTGGATGACGTGCACGGGTTGTCGTCCCCCCGCCCCCTCGCCCTTAGTGCCACTCCAGGTGCTCCTACCCCGTCCTCAGCTAACTTGACCTTCTCCCTGGATGGCTACCTGGAACCTGCGCGGCTCTCCCTGACCACCCCACACTTCTCGCACCAGCCTATCACTTCTCCGTCAGAGGAGTCTTTCCCCTTCTTCTCCCCTCCCCCTTACCCGGCCCTGCGGGACCGCCACGCCCCCACCCGAGCCTCTGTCCCCGCCACCCACGACATTGGTCCCCCTTGGCTTCGAGAGCACCTGACGTACCACCGCCCCTCCGTCTCCACTACGTCGCCAGCCATGTCCCACCATACCTGTAATGTCCTCCTCCAAGTCTTGCATTGTTTCAGCATGTTTATTCACATTCTTATAGGCTACACATAGATTAAGAAAGATCTGTTCCACAATATTGAGGTACAACTATTACTTGTGCACCACTAATAGAGTAATTATATATATATATATAACCTATCATATGTTTCTGTACCATAAATCTTTGGTGTACTTCTCACTTAATAATGTTATATACTGTACCTGCAGCACACCCTGAGCATTGATTACAAAGTGGATTTCCTCTTACCTAACAATCTGTTGTTTGTCTGGCAGAAGTTGTGTGTGTCTCTTCAGTCTTTTGTCTCTTATTCTAAATACTGTGCTGTACATTGGGTATAATATGGTGTCTATTTTTATTTACTTATTCTTTAAAAGGACATATTTCTTAAAGAGATTATCTCAAGACCCTGCACATCTTGAACATTTGTTTAATACAGTATGTGAAGTCCAGAGTGAGGCACCGTTTACTTACCTGTCCATTTAACTGCCTTGAGATTATCGTATGTTGACATATTCAAAAGGGATCATCCAGAACCACACTATAACAGCTCACGTCAGCGTTCATATGATATCAATACTAATAGTTGTGTTCCATCTTTGTTCAGGTGTCCCCCCTCCTATACCAGTTAGTTATTGAAGAGTCAACACAGTCTATAATTCCCAGCTTTCTACCCTCACTTGATGTCATGATATAATTATTTTCATGCACCCCATTTCATGCACCGAACCCTTATCTATTATAAATTATGCATTGTTTATATATTGTTTATATTTTTACCAATAATAACTATCTCACACACACTCACTCCCCATCACCTTGCTAAAGCTTTGTTCAAACTCTATTTATTTCTATTGTTTTATTTCTTAAGATGGCTTTATATCCTCCACGATGCTCAAGCTTTGCAAAGTGGCCATTAGCCAGTACAGTATTACTCCTTTGCCTAGAAGTTACCCCCCCCCTCACCCACCCCCTACAGCAGCATCTGAAGGGTCTTTCCAGGCCATATGCAAGAACCTGAACCTTGATCATGTATCTGATATGGACCAGTTTCATCATCTAGCATGGGAATTATTCAGGCTGTACTTCACCGTGAGAAACCCTCTCCTGCGGTCTGCCGACATCCCCATTCATGGTAACCTCGCCTGATTGCCATTGCCCTCTCACCAGCTCCACCTCGAGTAACCGTCACTGAGCAGTCGTCCGTGTTACTAGTTTTATATTTTTTCGCAAATGAGGCTGTTGGTGTTCTCTTGATAACCCTGCTGGTGTTATAGGCTATAGTCCATTGTTTATCTAACAAGAACTCACACTATCACAGTTTACCAAAGCAAGATGTACAGACAGTGTATGAATTGCTGTGAGTTTAATCTTCACAAACTTTATATCATGATGGTCAGAAGTACTACAGGCTTTGGTAACAACATCTACTGGTAATAAGTGTTGGTCAGTACAGTGTAATGTTTGTTTGGTCGTGCAGAATCTTTACCTAAATCTCTTGCAGTTTTTCTCCCTAATTTCTCATCATTGTCTACTAAATGTTATCTATGTAGTTCCTGTTTACGTGTTCTGTGTCTGGTAGATGAGAACGTTTATTTTACCGTGAAATTTGACTGGGAAACTGAAGAGGGATTTCGCGTAATTTATAAAATGTTAATAATTTCACTGTTAGTACAGGTAGTTATAAGAGTCAGCTGACCTGACTTAACCAAAGACCATAACATTCATTAAAATGTTTATAGATTAAGTGAAATTCCTGGTTTTACAGTTGCCCTGAAAATAATGTTTTATCAAATGTTTGTTCGTGTCTGATACTGTCTGTTTGTGTCTGTGTGTGATGTACGGTACACCATATAATCCTTACTTCTCCAGAACACAAAAAGACACTATTTTAAATAAGAAACTTACCCACTTTGTGTTATATCACTAGACAGATGGACTAAGAACTCACTTGTACAATAATGAAATAATTATTGTTCATAAAAATAAGATTCATTGATATTAAATATGTTAATAATTTTTCTAAAGTGGTTATGACTTTGCCTTTGGTATTATAGATAAAGAAATTGTCAGTAGTTTACTATATTGTTAAACACGTGACACAGTAGATTAACTCTCTCTCCACCAACCTGGTTACAATTTGAACATAGAATTTAATTAAGAAGTCTTTGATTCATAAGAGAAAATATAGTGTTTAATATATCCAAGTCCTTCATCGCTTCTCAAACACAGAGTGGACAAGTATTTTAGTGTATCTTAATTGTCAGTGTTTGTATGTGTGTTCATTCATCAGATTTAAGCATACTAATGTTATTCCTGCACCAGAGTTGACTGTCTACCACTGAGCCATTAATTATCAGTATGGCTTGATGTAACACAGAGATGTATGAACACACATGGGCACCTTTCAAAACACTCACTAACCCTCTACATCCTCTTCATAGGTTTAATAAAGTATTTTGATATAAGATTCATCCTTATAATGTTACAGTACTTGGATAATTAACTAATGATTCTGTATATTGATGAAGGTGAATACAAAATCATGAAATTACAAATGACATATACCAGCTTTGTGTGGCAGTCAAATTGCTTTTACTGCTGCCATCGCTAAGTGATTAAGAGTTACTGACGGAAATTATTGTCTTCAGCCATCCGCTCTGGTGATTATTACATGTTCGAGGATTATGGTGAATACGAGGGCTTGGCTCCTCTTGAGATTCCCGAAGAGCCTCCCCAGGATGACACCACCCAGGGAATGACAGTGTCGGAGGTAAGTACCGTGTGTGTGTGTATGTGTGTTTGTGTGTCTGTGTGTGTACTGTGATTCACCTTATGTATGTGTGTGGGTGTGTGCATGAGGTATGGCAGTTTCCAGAAGTGTATGTCTACCCTGTAGTCCATTGCTTGTTATGAATGCATGACTGTTTTGTTGGATATGATGATTTTTTTTTAACTGTAGTTCTTGATTTACTGCAACCCGTTATATGAGTTTAGAGTAATGTTGATTTTTCATTCACTGTATTAATGGCATAAGGAGTTAGAACATCTCCCAGTAATATCCTCAACGGGTAGATACATTTGTTTTAACCATTACTAACTGAACTAACCCAACTTACCTCGTCTTTGCTTTGGACTGCCAGCTGTTGAGTTCAGCCTTGAAGACAGACATTGTAGAGGCAGCAGAGGAGGCAAAAATTGCCCGTTTATCAGAGTCAGATGCGGCATCGAGAAGATCTTCCTTTGTCCGCAGACCAGTTCATCGTACACTTTCTGGCCGGTCCCAAGTGTCCATGGTGTGTTAGCTTGCTCATATTTATTTAATTTTTTGATCATCTCCTTACATTAGATTAAGTAGATTTGATAAATAATTCATTGTACCTCAGCTCTATACATACACGTAGATGCACACACTTTTTTACTCTCGTGTGTTCCAGGCATCACGAACCTCACGGACGACCTCCAGGAGCGTAAGAATCCACCCTCGTCCCCGCTCACCTCCTGCAGTCCCTCACTCCCCTCCACCTCTACCATTGTCACCCCCTCCACAAAGGTCAGCCATCAACCATATGACTCGTCTATCACTCTCACTTCATGTCTATCCTGTCTCCCATTAGCCAACTTTGAATCTTTTTTAACTCTTTCACAAACCTTACTCTAACCCATCACAGTCGCTGTGTTTATGGTCAATAGTAATAATCTTAGGGAGGAAACTAATCAATTTTTTTCTATGTATGTGAGCTTCTTGTGTGCATTGATATATATTTTGTGATTTTAATTTTTTCACTTTTTTAGATAAGCTTCAGAGGCATTGTGGACTTATTTTGATTACTGCATTAGTTGAGTACTTCTTTCAGTTAACTTTTTAGCTGAATGCAGTATAGTACATCCTTTGATTACTTCATTAGTTGAGTACAATACTTTTTTCAGTTAGTTTATTAGATGAATTCATCCTTTAATCATGGTGCAGCAGCTAAGTGTTTACAGTACCCTAGTAAGCTCATTCACAGCTGTAAGTGAGTAACTGTACTTCACTTTACAGTTGGGGAGATAAAGTGGTTAAGTGCAGTGCTGGTCACGAGGTGTTCTTATGTACTGAAGGCATAATATACAATATGCTTTATCCACAGTGTCCATAGAGGTCTGTTTGGCCTATGAGAACCACTGTCACATGCAGGAGAGTTAATGTATTGGTCAAGTTCATCCTGTAATAAGTTTATCAGTTGAGTGTAATCTTTAATCGCTGTTTCAGGTCTCCATTGTCACTGGGACGTCCTCCTCCCCCCTCCACACTGCCACCTCTGCCTCCACTTCCTCAGTTAGATGGAGGTTACCTTGCGGATGACTCCACAGCCCACGACTACTCTGAGATAGAACCTGCAGAACCACAAGGTATAATAACAACACAGTGGAAATAAAGGCTACTCTGAATTTACTTAAGTCTTTTGATTTATGTGGAGGTTTCACTGTATTAAATATGTCACTTGGTTTGCAGGGCTGGCACCCATTCTGCGCAAGATCGTCCACTGGGCCAAGTTTGGCTGGGAATTATTGGAGTCGTTGATGATCTCGGCCACACAGCAGCTCAATAGACTCTCCAAGGACTACCGCTACGTTGCCAGTTGTCTCTCTGAGGAAAAGAAGAGACTCAAGGTACAGTACTTATGACTTACAATTGTTTGTCAGATGATTAATGAAACCAACAAGACACAAATTAAAAGCTGACTAAAAAAGAGCCATTATTAATTTTGATGTATTTAAACCCAACATTCTGAAGAGTTACATATATCCTCAAGTTTATTACACTATACAGGTAACATAGCAAACACCTTTCACACTGTTCTTCTCTGGTGGTGATTTATACAGGAGACAGATGGGTTCCGTGTTATGCCGGGGGTAACTGACCATCCTCACCCACCTGGACAAGAGTGGTCAGACATTCCTCTCTCTCAACATGGGTAAGGGAATAATACTTTTATTATGTGGAATGTAGAAGACTAAGTGAGATTTTATTAATGTACAGTCAGCTTTTATAACTCTTTGTGTATGGGGGATCTCTGTGTTGAATAAAATTGTCTGATGTTAACCATATAAAATATTAAAAGGGGCATTCCCGTAGTGTGTGTGTGTGGTTCTGTATGTGTGTGTTTTGGTGTTTGTGTATGTTTATAGTTTATGTGTATATGTGTGGTTATGGATGTGTGTGTATGTGTGGCGGAACATGGAATAATATACCAAGCATTTCCTGCAGCTACGGCGGGCAGGAACCGCTTGAGATCCGAGTAGAGAAGGCCAGCGAGGACAAGACTGATGACAGTGTGGATTTTGTCGACGTACCCGAGGGAGCGGAGAAGGAATTCAAGAAAGAGCAGCCACCCATTGTGAAGCTGATGATTGCATTCTGGTCAGTCTGTGTACTAATGTTTGTTTGTGTTCTCTTAATCTGAATAATTTCTTTTATGTCCGTGGTTTATAAAGATTTCTGTCTATTTTTCATCAGGAATTAATCATCAGATGTGCATAATACTTTGATATCCATGTGTTCATTTCTTATACTATACCAATGAATTTATACCACTATATTAGACAGTTGATTTATTCTCTAGTGTATATATATTCATAACACTATAATTTAAGTGCAGTACGCAGTCACCATTCACAATTTCTCTCACAATTTGATGTGCAGTTTACTACTACAAGGTTTTACACACTATTGCAGAACTAAGAAGTATACGTTTGTCTTCTCCAGGTACGCTATGCTCTCACGGTCGGAGCTGGTCTCCTACATAATGATCTTCGTCAACCAGATAAAGTCGGCTAGTGTGTTGTCTCTTCCGCTGCCCTTCATGGTGTTCCTCTGGGGGTCTCTCAGTGTTCCGCGACCCACCAAGACCTTCTGGATCACCATCATAGCTTACACTGAGGTACTGTACTGTACTGTATGGCCATTTCATGTTGTTTACCAAGTGAGTCCACACCAAGGAATTATTGTCCCAGATTTTTGTAATTTTATATTGTTTATTGTTTGACACGTGCAATTACAAGATGCAAAAATGTTCCAAAGCCCACAAGATGGCTACAGAGCCTCTTGGGTAGGTAAGATATGCTGTACAGACAATAGAAGAACACCAACCATCAGGTGAGTGTGAGGAAGAACCAAGTTGATTATGGTAAGACTCATCTTTCTGTCCTAGAAAAAAGACAGATTATTATTTCTGATATTGAATAAGAAGTGATGCCTTGTATGCTATAATATGCCTTACCATGTATATTATTGACCTTATTATCATACAAGACTGTTTAGGGAAGACTATAGAAAGCCTTTTAATTGGGGAAGGCAAGTTAACTCTTCTGACATAAAAAACGGAAAATTATGTGTATGGAGAGTTTGTCAGTCATACATTAAGAACCTCATGTGACTTTATCCCCAAATCCCTTACTGGAGTTACCTCACAAAATATTCTTTTCTTTACAGGTGATAGTGGTGATCAAATACCTCTTCCAGTTTGACTTCTTCCCCTGGAACCAAGTAGAGCGGCTCAATGCTCCTTTCTGGCCTCCTCGTATCGTTGGTGTCGAGAAGAAGAACCGCTATGCTGTCTATGATCTGGCCCTTCTCCTTATCGTCTTTTTCCACAGGTGAGAACATTGTCATGTGAATATAATTAACCTGGTTCTTAGTGTTGATGTTCACAGGTGATATTTGAACAGTAAGGTTGTAAGGTCCTGCTTAACCACTTATGTATGGGATCACTTCTGTGTTGAGTGGTGTAAGGGGTTGATGAGTGACCCTTTAATAAGAATTTAGTTCAATGATTCAACTTGATGATCTGTCCCATTTACAGGTTCATGCTCAAGAGTTTGGGACTGTGGAAGGAGACCTCTGACATGAGTCCATCGGCTACTGCCCGCTCGTCTCCATCCCATTCTTCTTCTCCGTCGTCATTTTCTCACAGCCGCACCTCTTCCTCCGTTCAGGCTCCGAGAAAGACGGCTGCATCCACCACTCCTGTGCCAACTTCTAAAGATGATGGGTCTCACTTATCACAGTCGGGAGATGGTTCCAGCCTCTCCTACACCAAAGACACCTCTCTGCTATCAAAGGACACTGGAAGAAGTTCTCTAAATTCCAAAGACACTAAAGACAGCTCACTCACCTCAAAAGACTACAAGGACATATCATTAACATCTAACACAAAAGACAGCTCCTTTTTCTCCAGCACAAAAGATACATCCTTGCTCTCCCACACAAAGGACAGTTCTCTGCCCACCACACTGAAGGACGGTTCGTTAACCTGGCAAGAACAGGAGAATTCATTGCTTTTAAACACAAATGACGATTCTCTAATGTCCAGAGCATCAGAGCCGCTTCCTCAGTCTACACCCACGCATTACCGACAATTGTCCGAAGACGGCCGGACCGCCACGACGTGTTTTGACTCGGATACGTCGAGGACATCTCATCAGAGGTCCGGCAGTGAGGCCGACTACAGGAAGACTTGGTCGCCATACCAGTATCATGCCCGTCACTCGTCCCTGGTCTCCCAGATACCGGGCGGAGGAGGAATTGGCCCCCGGACATCTTCACTGGTGGTTCGACCTGAGCACCGCCGCCATCTGTCTGAAGGGTCTCGGGTTTCCTTCAACCAAAGGCCCATGTCAGTAACTTCCCATTGTACTCACGTGTCACAGTCGGCAGCTTCAGACTCTGTGCACGTGACCTGTGCTGCTTGTAACCTTCAGGCACTTAAGGATTTCCAGAAGCCTGACATGGAAGAAGTAAAAGAGAACATCCAACAGCTTCCTAAACTGGCTAAAGGAGGGTGAGTGATCAAAGCATTACAGTATTTACTTAAAGCAAAATCTTGTCATGTCATTAATTTGAATTTACGTGCATTTATCCCCAATTAATCCAACACCTTGTATCTGTCCCCAGCGCTCATCGCCTTATTGAGAAAGTTCGAGCATTCTTGGGAGCTCTGCTTCACCAAGAGTCGCAGGTCTCAGTGGACGTGTATGCTTACATGTTCTTCTGTGATTTCTTCAACTTTTTTGTGCTCATATTTGGATTTTCAGCTTTTGGTGTAAGTGTAAATGTTGATTTTGTTTATTACATTCTAGAGTAATATGTCATGTGTTTATTTTGTGATATAATAGTGATTCTCTCTCTCTCTCTCTCTCTCTCTCTCTCAAAAGGTTGCCCGGTTAACGTACAATAGTCAGAAACAAAATAAAGTTAGATTTTGTATTTTTATCATAATTTGTTTTATTTCTTACTGTATGTTTATATGTGAAATACGTTTACGGTTTGTTGTTTACAGACTCAACAAGGTGATGGTGGAGTAAGAGCATACCTGGAAGACAACCGTGTTCCCATACCCTTCCTGGTGATGCTCATACTTCAGTTTGGTCTCATCATCGTGGATCGAGCGCTCTTTCTCCGCAAGTTCATTTTGGGCAAACTAATATTTCAGGTAGGAATATAATGACTGATGATACTGATAGCCACTATTGTATATGGCAGTCATGGCAGGAAAGATGTTGAGGAGTTGAAAGAATTATACACACTGATGCTGTTTGAGAATATATAAGGTATTCTGTTTTTGTTAGGAAGTGATAATGTACATGAATTAATATCCTGGCTTTCTTACAGGTGGCGCTGACATTTGGAATACACATATGGATGTTCTTCATTCTTCCTGCAGTCACAGAGAGGTAAAGACTTACATGTATTTATTGTATTAGTGTATGGGTTGCTTTCTTTACACCATTGTCCCATAGAGGGGATAACAGGAGACATATTCTCTGTTCTAGAGACGTAAACAATAACTAAAGAACAAAACTGTGCCATAGATGTGTTCCTGGAAAATATAGAGCTACAATAAACAGCTTTATAAGTGATCATTATATACTGGATTTGTAATATAGATGGGATCATGACAGAGCTATTTCTAACCTTACATGGGAAAATATGGTCACATTGAAATAAACAGTTATATATCTGCATCAACTTGTGTGTTATGAGTACAGTACAGTAATGAAACAGTGAATTATAGAATCGACAAAACTACTGGACCGTATTATTATTTTCTTCATCAGGGAGTTCAATGCAAAGCGGCCGCCACAGATCTGGTACATGGTGAAGTGCCTCAACTTACTCCTGTCCGCCTACCAGATCCGCTGTGGCTACCCGACCAGGATCCTCGGCAACTTCCTCTGCAAACAGTACAACTACCTCAACCTCTTTTCCTTCAGGATGTAAGCACACTAAACACCCTTGAGAATTTTAAGAATTTGATTGAGTTATTTTTTAATCTTTTCTGATCTTGGTTATGGTGAAAGTGAAGGACAATGGAAGTGATTTTAACCACTAGTGTCTCTTTATACAATCGTTCATTTTAAGTCTATCAAGGTAATTACTTCACCATGTTTGAGCTCTCGACAATAAATCATTATAACCGCCACCACAGATGTTAAAATGGTACAGTATATATTTTAGGTGATTGTGGCTGTTGGTAACATCTGACCTTGAGATTGTGAATGTTGAGGTCTACTTGTAATCCTGTAGTTATGTATTTTTTAAGAGGATTCCTGTGTCTTTTATCCAGGTTCATGTACGTGCCGTTCCTGTTTGAGCTGCGGACGTTAATGGACTGGATTTGGACAGACACCAGTATGAGCTTAAGCGACTGGGTGAAAATGGAGGACATCTTCTCTCATATATTCCAGCTTAAGGTTTGTTGTGACTTGTTAAATATTTTGTTCTTTTCTTTGTCTCACCGGTGACCTTTACATCTGTACCATCTATGTACTGGTGGTCAGTTGTATCCTGGTACAGTACTGCACAACACAGATCATATGTGAAAAGCAGTAAGCAAGTAAACAAGTTCGTATAATGACAGCAGATAATAAAGTGAGTGTCATGATTCAGGAGCTTGAGGAGATAGGCTGCAAGATACTGTACATTAACCAATCATAGGTATCTCTTGCAGTCAATCTAAGCCTGTGGTCTAAGTTCTCCATGGAGCCAGCCCACCCATGTGGTTGGCGCATAAAGAAATCACTCGGAAATTCATTCAAATGGATGGAGTGGACAGATATTTTGGAATTTCTATAAATTTAATTTACAGTTTTTGGGTATTGCAAAGTTCCAGAGATTGAAGGTTCTGGCTGTGGGGAATATTACTGGTAAGAAATGAAAACTTGGCTTCCTGGAAGAGTACAACAGCACTCTCTCATATCAGTCATGTTCACAATTTCAGCGAGCCAGACAAGTGGCTCTCACTAGCTCAGTCCTTTCTTAATGACTTTTAATTAATATATATATCTTCCTTGTCTGTTTTCAGTGTGAGCGTCGTGCAGAGATAGAATACCCACAAGGTCGAGGTGAAGGTAAACGCAAGATAATCAAGTATGGGATGGGTGGCTGTGCACTGTTTGGAGTCATTGCTCTCATCTGGTTCCCATTAGTCCTGTTTGCTCTCAGCAACACCGTTGGTCAGCCCAACCCGCCCTATGACGTCACCGTCCAGATAACCATGGGGGCGTACCAGCCAATATTCCGCATGACGGCCCAGCAGCAATCACTCTACAGGTAACTTAGGTTCTGCAGTGTATGTAATGTAGATATTTGTCTTAGTCTTATATCCAGTTGTTTCCTCATTGTACAGGTGACATGGGAGATGTACACTGTTTATGAGGCAATGATTCGACACCCTTAAACCTTTAGATAGATCTGGTTATCATGGGAGGTGTAGTAAAATATATGATTAGTCACGAAAATCATTGTTTTGGGGAGTTGGTCTGAGTCATAACCTGCTAGACTATAGGTGGCTCAATAACAGCAGTACCCTTGGATGGTTTCAATTATAAAATGAAACTTCAGGATCAATCCATTAGTTCTCCCTTCCCATAAAAAAATATATTGTATGATTTATTTATTTATTTCTCATCACATAGAATGGAATTACATTGATTTATTTTAATTGTTACTCAGGTTCACCCAGAAGGATTGGTATTCATTCAACTATCATTATCAGACTGACCGACAAGCACAGACTTTCTTAAGTAACTATGACTATCAAGATGTTGTCGTGGCAGAACTCAATGGTAATTCAACTGCCATATGGGGCATCTCACCTCCAGCCCAGGTTAGTGTTATATATGTTGTCTGTCATGTACACTGTGTTTGTTTATAGCTGTCATCTTTGAGAGATATTCAGTTAACCCCTGAATTGTTGTACAGTACGGTATTATATTCTTAGCCCATAAATACTAGCACCACGATTTCTTAGGTCAGGGTATACCAAAATTGTGACCATGTAAAGAACTAAAACTAAGGACTGGGTGACAATGAGTTTTTAAAGCTTTGTTGTAAAGATTTTTGAAGTCTCCTGCACTGCTTTGTTGTTCATGGTCGTGTAACAAAACTTTACTCTAGGAAGGGGACCTCACTTGTGGATCTTGTCTCTGTGTCTTAGGAATTCCTCTCCTGAAATGAACACAGTCATAGTGCTCTGAGTATTACTTGTACTAGTCCAATTAGGTGTATATTAATAACCACCAGATAGAGTTTTTAAGGACAATATTTGTTCAATAATCTGGAACACATAATCAGTAAATGACCCACAAAAATACATGAATTTTAACCCCTTAAAAATTATTTGTGTATGCAATCTGACCCCCTTTTCTTTGCATAAATATTTGACCATAAAAACTTGGACTATACAGTACTCAAGTATATACAATAACTCTATAGTAAACTTGTAACACATCTATTCACAGAGAAGCTTAATAGAAGATCTACAGAGTAACCACACTATTAGGATGAAGATCAACTGGAGTGTGAAGCGTGTGTCCAATACTCCTGATGTTGCTACTGAGTGTAAAGACCAAGTGGAGGTGAATCTTGAACCTTATGAAGGTATTAACTATATTTACCTTGTCATCACTTTATCAACTTATTAGGTGTTCAGGTGGTTGGTCTATCCTCTCATAGTACAGGAGGAAATCAGGCGCTTATTTTGTCCTTATTAAATGACCCCTAAAATCACCACCTTATACACCAAAGATATAAGATAAAGAACTATAATGATTGATGCTATAATGAATTAGTGTTTTTTTTCATGTGTAATAATGCAGTGTTTTCTATGCCTGATGATACACTACAGTACCTTTCTATTGTAGGCACTCAGAGGAATCCTGTGCGGGAGAGGCTGGTACGCATCTTAGAAGGAGAACTGGACCAAAACCCAGTCCCGATCCCAAATCTATTCCCAAAGTATCTCAAGGTCACCAATAAAGGTCAAGCTGAATATGTCACTCAACTTGAAGGTCAGTGAACGCCATCTCTGTCTTTGTCCATGATTACGTTAAGCTTTGTAACTTGTGGATTTCAACAGGTTTATGTTGCTTTGTTTTTATGGTTACTTGAGCCAAATATTGTGTCAGAGAAAGGTTAAATGTGTGAGCCATTGTTTTTTGTTGTTATAATTACTTGAGCCAAACATTAGGTGAGCCACTAGACAATAGAAATACTTAAAATTTTGATAGACAGTAGAGGAAGTTCTCATGTGTAGAAATTGTCATAAAGAGCATCAAATTTTATTCTTAACCTCTTCACTCTGGGGATGAAACTTCTAATATTTTATACAATTTTATTCAGCCAAGAGAAAAACCCATCCACAAGGGATTAATACATTTATTCTCATATATACAGATAAGAAGAAAGGATTTGTGGACCTGAAGTTCACGTTGCAATCTGATGGCTTTGGGAATCTATCATCAACACAAGAATGGTGGGAGGTGGAGGAGGACTGTTCTAAAAGCTACTACAACTGGCTACCTCGAGGGAAGCAGTGTCACTTCCTCACCGTCTATACGTTCAGTGATAAGGCTTTCCCTAAAGGCCTCAGCTTCATTTCAGGCGGCGGGTAATTGTCTGCTCCTCTTATCTCGGGTTTTGTCGTGCTTGTGGTCCTCTGATCTTTTAGAGAATTAAACATAATATAGAGTGAAATACTAATCACATTAATCACTGTTATAGATTTCTTCACTGCTCACTGTTATTACCCTATTTGTAGAATTGTGGGAATGTACACAACACTGGTGGTGGTGGCTGGCAAGATGCTGCGTGGCTACTTCGCTGGCTCAGCTGTCAAGATAATGTTCGATGACTTGCCAAATGTTGACCGTATATTGCAGGTGAGTTATATAAAGATAGTGAAGATAATGTCCGTATACACATGTTTACTGAAGGCAGAATTAACCCGATAGCAATTTATGAAAAGAAACAATGGCCAGTTAAGTTTCACACCACATTAATGTTTTATTTGGGGTAAAATTAGGGTTTGCCGAAGACTTACCGGTAATGGACGAAGAATGAGGGAAGATTGTGCAATTACCACAGTACCACAGCAGTTTGTAAATATGAAGTGGATACGGTTGACAGTCTTGTATAACTAAGACCACACTTTTCATCCTCAGCTTTGCCTTGACATCTACTTGGTGCGTGAGAGCAGTGAACTGGAATTAGAGGAAGATCTCTTTGCCAAGTTGGTCTTCCTCTTCCGTTCACCCGAGACCTTGATCAAGTGGACACGGCCCCCGGAGGAAGAGACTCCTGAAGGGGAAGAGGGAGATCCCCAGTTGGAGTAAAGTGGGTGATTTTATTAAACAAGTTTGTTGATTAGAAATACCAAAGAATTTTGCCGTGAGATTTTATAGGAAAAAGTGTTGAGTATGAAACAAATACAGATACACTTTTATTTGTATATACTCGATACTGTACTCTCAAGCTCTTCCCTGCTCTGGCACAAGGGGCTGGAACCAAGAGCAACACACATACTCTATCACTTGCTGTCGTGCATACAACAGGTGGTCTGTGTATAATTATGAGCAATAACTTTTAATGTCGCAGGACGGTTTTCCTCCTCAGCGTTCATCACATTAACTCACTACCCGTTGCCTATGACTATCAACAGATCTCATAATGTGAGGCTTTTGAGCAGTAATCTTTGCTAAACTTTATCAGCATTTCAGTAATTTTCATCATTGTCATGAGGAAAGTATCACATCGCATGTCATGTTGTAAATGAAGTGTAAAATATTTGACGAGACGCACAAAGTTATAGAACGTGTTAGGATAGCGATCCAAACCACAAGCTTTTTCTGTTATGTGTTAAGCTGAACAAATAGCAATAGAGTATAAAGTTTTTAGATAATAAGCTTTAGTACATCAAATATAAATAATAGGAATATAGTGAAACTTCTATATAACGGACTACAGTACAGTACAGTATACGGAGAGGAAAGTCCGTTATATCAAAGGTCCATTAGATATGAACCGCCCCCTAATGGATTGTATGGAGATAGAAGTCCGTTATATAAAGGTTTCACCGTAGAGTAATACAAAAATATTTGATGATTGTAGTTACCATATTGCTTCAACCACTGTGTCTGCTGCGGTAATAAAGTTTTCTTGTTGGCTGAGCATCATGGTGTATGTGGCTTGGTGGTGGTCAGATCACAGACTATTTTTGGATTCTTAATGTTACAGATCTATAGGGAAGTTACTTGGTAATTTCAGAGATTTTATGATTTTTATATTTATTAAGAGATCTATCTGTGTGGTCGTTTGTTTTATCTCTGTTATTAATGGGAAGATATTTTATCATCCTTATCTCATTTAGATATCATTATCATCCTTCAAGTGGTCATGACTATATTTGTCTTTCTGTAAATAAATTCTTTGATATACTGTATTGGACGACTACTTGGTAAACTCAGGATGATAATGTCAATATGAGGAGATGGTGATATTTTGGCATGAATAATGTTAGTTTTCACAAGTTTTGACCAGGTTTACACTTTTACATCTTTCCTATACAGTTCCTCGCAACCTCTATCGCCATATTAACCCCTTCACTATGGGGATGCCACTTTTAATAATTTATTCGGCTGATGCCTGACGATTTTACTCGGCTCGGCATTGTTGTCACGATCTTGGTGTTGTCATTATAGTCATCCGGTTATGTATTTGTATTATCTCAGGAGCCTTAAAGACACAAGTGTTTACATCTGTTGTTGGTATGTGTTTCCTCGTGTCGTGTGTTGTGTACATTCGGTTTTCTCTTCAGAGTATCAACTTCCTTAGTTATGTCCGATGGTTGGGTCTGTCATGCCTCCAACTTCATTTATCTTAAAGACTTGTTTCTCTATTTTCTATCTTTTTCTTGTACAGTTTTATCCCTCAACCGTTGTATATTGATGGAGAAGTGAGCAGTCGTACCCACGTCCGTCCATCATTCTGTACCAAGTGTTACACCCCATTCGGTAATTCAAGAAAAGGTGTTTACAGATAATCAATAATATCCATCCTTATTTACCAGACTCTGATATGTGGTGGAGGCAAATATCAACCCTTTAGTTGTTATCCACCTGTTGTTCTTCCTCTCCAGTGGGTGATGTAGCAGTAGTCCCTCTTCCCCTTATGTTAATCTTGTGAATGGAAGAAATAGATGGATCTTTGTGTAACTTAACATGAGAAGAGTTACATCAGTATTGGCCCTTCATAATATTTATTATCTATAATTTTTACAAGCTATTCAAATGTTTGTTCTGGTAGTGTTAAGGCCTATGTTGTCTCCACAGTGATAGAGCCTTGTGGTTAAGTTATTTATATATTCAGACTTGCCATAATCCTGTTGTCTTCATACCTATTTTACCCATAAACAGATTAAGGACACCTCATACAGCATAATACAACCTTTTCTTCAGTCACATCAAGTTGTTTTGGTATTCTTTCTTCGGTCTCTCTCCATTTGCCTCTATTATTGGTGAATCTAAGAGTGTGGGAACTGTAACTCCTCATCCCACTACAGGAACCCACTCCCCCATCCTTTCCCCCCACCTACTTTCCCTGTAACCAATGATATTCACTGTCACTATATACATAAAATAAGACCTATAACATGGCTCAGGTAATGCTCTCAAAAAGTGTCTTATTGACTCATTGATATAGTTTGGAAATTATTGCAGAGGTCCAGTAATTGTGTGTGAAGTGTGTTGGACCTTCCCTGCCATCATTAAAACCTTACATCTGCCACTGATCTCTTGCCTTCCCCACAGTGCTCTTATCTTGTTTCCTCTGGCAGTGTGAGACTTTTAACATTTTTATTCAATATCTAAGTATCTTTGTTTCCTTTTTTCCTCTTCATAACCACAAGTTGTTGATTCTGTCCTCCTGTCGTGAGGCAGGTTGTCAGCTATAATTTTCTGTGATCAAGTTTCGTTATTCTTCATTTTATCTTGTTTGGCATTAGATGGTATAGTTGTTTATGTACACCTATGTCTTTGTGTTCTTGTTTTTTCATGAACAGTATGTTAGTATGTTTTTGTTTTGTGTGTGTGTGTGTGTGTGTGTGTGCTATTTTGTTTGTTATTATTTAATCACTTGTGAGATACATTTGTGTTCATTTCTGGTCGTCTTTTTGGTTAACAAATGGTAGTAAATGGAAACAGAATAATGTACCAGTCCTCTCCAGAAGAAAGTGACAAGGAGTGTATGTGTGTGTGGAGACCTGAAGAGTGGTGTGGTTACTGTGGTGTAGAGGCACAATTGTCAGCTATTTTGGAAGATATCAGATCATTCTTATGTATTGCTGGTGGAGATTCTAGGCTTTGGTGAAAGTGTTTTGTTAAATTCTGATGAGGTTGATAGACAAGGATTGATGAAGTATAAAGTTATGACTTTAAGTAGTTAAATGGTAATATTCCTGAACTGAAAGAGTACAGTATTCCTAAAGTCAAGTTCCTATAGAATACGTATAGGTGTGTACACTTGCTCCTTGTGAACCAGGATCAATAATGGTTTTCTCACTCGTAGTCACATTTACCGTGATGGACCCTGAAAGTCAACTATATTTACTCTCCTGTACATGATGTTTATTGTGCCTTGGATTACAAAGATCCTATTGACTTAGTATTTTGCATTGTGGAGAAAAATCCATTAATGCCTTAGTGTTTTGGAGGGGAATTTTTCTTCCCTTGGAGATTGTAATTGGGCTAAAATTCCCAAACTTAGAGATGTAGTTTAGAGTCACCTTAAGGAGTGAAAGAGGCATGTATCAAGTTGCTGGAGCCTAGTGATGAGAGTTTTAGTCCAATACCTTTGAATCTGAGACAGTTTCCCCATCAAGTAGTTCCTATTATATTAGAGCAGAAGCTTTATATTCTAGCCTGGTTATGGTGACATTTGGAAGTTGGTCGTCCATGATGTCAAGATAATTAAAATTGAGGAAGTTATGAACTTCAAGGCATTTAGGCAGAATGTTTCTTCAGAAGTTATTACAGGTGTCTGATTCCTTAACTTGGCACCTGATAGTGTTAGGGTTTTCTCATGTTTGACTTCCCAGTATCAAATATGAAAACACTCGTCCTGTAAAACCACAAAGTTCTCTTAAATCGTGAGACAAGATGTAAAAAAAATCCATAATTGTGAGATAATTTGAATATGTTTGTATAATTTAATATTTCTTGATTATTCAGTCAACTCAGAGCCCTGGTGATGTATTGCCAAGGGTTCAGTGGGTCTTCAATTAGGGAGTTACTGTGAATATTGTATGAGGAAGACTGATTCTTTTAACTTCATTGAAGATGTTGGATTCTTCTTGGTCTGGTATGGACGTACTTTTTGCAAAATTGTCCTATATAAAACCAGATGCTTTGTTGAGGAATAATTGAAACAGTTTGGTGTTCCCATCTCACCCTTGACTGATACAATTTTCAGCATCCCAGCAGTGTTTCAGGGGATTGCTGCTGTGATGACGCCCTGTTAGTCGGTCCTAATATAGTTCCCTCTCCTTCTCCAGACTTAGTCAGGTTGTATTCTTGTCAGTTTCCTCAGTTTTGTAAAGTTCACATTTGTAATTTCTAAAACATGATGTTTTGTACCAAGTTTAATGAGACTATTGCTAGTTTTTGGTGAGGCCTCTCAGAGAATTGTCCAATGGGTTGTATGAATTTTCTTGGTAATTTTTTCAAGCTTAGATTAGTTTAGCTGGATTCTATTTGTAAGAGTAAATATTGTTTACCCAAATATTAGAAGCTAAATAATGTGCTTTAGCTAGACCATTGAAAGAGGTATGTAGATTCTTCTCTTTGAATGAAGATCTTATATGTAAGTTTGCCTCTAGAACAAGTTCTTAAATCTCTAGGAAACTTAGCAGGGGAGTTGGCTTCAGTGCAGGTCATTGTATGTATTAGGTCTGATTTCAGAGATGAAGGTTTGAGAGAATCATGCTCTCAAAAAGGGTATAATTTTATTTCCTTTTGTTAATATTTCAACTGGGGAAGTTTGAAGCCAAGTGTACAATTGTTTTAAAAAATGACATGCCCAACATGAGAGAAAAATACATTAACATCCAGCCCAACAGACTGAGGGTGAACAGTGTCTCGTCACTCCTTTTGTCAAAATGAAGCTGTTAGTCTTCATCTTGTGATTACAGAACATATACATCACCAAGCATTAATAATGTGATTCATTGTTCAAAATGTGGAGCTTCCAGAGTATGGTTATCAAAGATGATTGTGAGACTGAGCCGCACACCCAAGGCTCATGACCTTACGGGCATCATATTAGTGGTGAGCTTTCTGAGGAGACTGCCCATTGAGTCTTCTCTGCAAAAAGGCCCTTGATTATTGGTGTCCATTGTGTCTTATCTACAAAAAGGCCCTTGATTATTGGTGTCCATTGAGTCTTATCTGCAAAAAGGCCCTTGATTATTGACTTAAGGCTTTTATTAGGTGTTACCTTCCTAACTGACCATCAAGTTTATTGGACCTACTTTCACTTTTTTTTACATGGTCGGAAAATTAATGTAGCTGACTGTGTGGTGTCAAGAAATTCATAAGGTTAGTGTTTGTACTTTACTGTAGGTGCATTGTTACCTCACTTAGTGGGTTGAGTGTCATGTTGCCTATGTTGCCTTCTTCCTATTCTTGGTTGGTTGTAGGTATATGAGTCACTCAGGACTGATTTAAGTTCATAGATGAAGGATTGATCCAGAAATCCCATTTCATAACTAATGTAATGAATTGGGCAATTCATGCCTTGCAGCAGTTAGCTTGTGGGATCTCAGGACCACCGTACTTGTGTGCCTGAGTTATACTCCAGAAGTCTGATGAGAAAAACTAGACACAGGATTTTTCCTGACTCAGCCACAACTCCAAGTTGGTGACAAAATAGGTCCCAGTCTCAATTACCATTCAGTCCTCAGTCACATTTGTTGTTGAAGCTTCTGTTAACTGGTTCCATATTGTCAGCTTCTTAGATTCATTATTTATATTGGAGTTTAAGGACAGGCTGGTTGCACTGTAGTCCTGGGTGATAGTATTATACTTGGGTATTTTATCACATAGCAAGAGTATTGGCAATTGTTTAACAACTTAGTTGACACTCAACTGGTGAGCTAGTTAGTGGGCATCAGTGGATATTCAGGTACTGTACTGTACTGGTTATATAAACAGGTTGCCCCTGAGGAAGGGTGAAGGTCGGCTCGTCTTGGTGGTTGATATCATACATCATTTTTTTCCCTCTTGGCTATGAAATGGAATTTTACACATTAATATTATAAAGAATTTTAAATTAAATTGTCAGTGTGAATTTTTATTTTATTTTACTTTATCTTGGGGTGAATTTGTCTGTTTCTTTGTGTAATTTTATTAGTGTTTGTGTATTGTTGGGAATGTTGTTGCATGAATGTGTGTGCATTATCTTTTTACAATTAGTGGTAGCCACATAGGGAGAAGGCCAGTGGCCTGGGTAGGATCCTGTCCCCTCCATTGTTACTGAGGGTCTTGTCCAGGACTGTTTTAAAGATCTAGTACTGATTCGTCTTGCTTCTATGACTACTTAGGATACGTAACTTCTCGGTCAACCAGTTTTTCCTTTTCAGTCTATTGTTAATTTTTTATCCTCAAGTTTTCCTTTCCTCTGAAGATTCTTTTGTAACAGAATTAATCAATACGTTTGTCAATGTCCTACTAGTTTACTCCTGAAGGTGTTAAGTACTGTACTGAATGTAGCTGTCAGTGATCACTTTATAGTCATTGCCACTAATCGGCTTGTTAGCTGCTTGGGCAGTCGGTCATGTATCTGCTACACACTGTTGGCAAGTACTGGGCATTTACTGGCTCCAGGATGTATCTGTACTTGCACCAGTGTTGGTCAATTTTGTTCTTGAATGAGTTCACACTCAGTGTGTTGTCAAGTCAGGACTGCTAGGGGTCATCATGTCCTTCATGTACTTGAACCTTTCTGCTCTTGAATGTTACAGTTATATAATTTTCTGCTAAGGTTTGTTTGTTCTCTTTATTTTTATACAGTATATGAAAATATTATTTTTTCCACATGTACTTAACAAATGTTTAGCAGGTAGAATATCATGTTGTATAAATATATACTTTTATCCTCTTCGCCACTGATCGGCTCGTTAGCCGCTTGGGCGATCGGTCACGTCTCTGTTACTTTTCTTTTTCTTTTATCCTGTTCACTAATTGATCGGCTCGTTAGCTGCTTGGGTGATCGGTCATGTCTCTGTAACGCACTGTTAGCAAGTACTGGGCATGCACCGGCTCCTGAATTTACCTGAACCTGCTCCAGTGTTGGTCAAGTCTTGTCTTGAAAGAGCTCACACTCGGTGCCGTCACAACATTTTCTGGCAGATTGTTCCAAGAGTTGACAACTCTCACTCCGAAAAAGTTTGTCCTCACAGTTTTCTGGACCTGCTGCTTCTTCAACCTTGAGCTGTGACCCCTTGTGGGGCGAGCGTCCGCCAGCTCCAAGTAAGGACACTCGACTGAGTAGTGCCCCTTGAGGGAACAGTAAGACAAGTGTTATTGGCCCACTAGTGTCCACTTTTCAGAAGCTGAAGATAATTGAACCCATTACATACTTGGTGTTATCCTGAACCCAATATCTTGAGATTTGGAAGGAAAATGTATACCATGGCTGTAGTCTTGGTGAACTTCACTTAACCAAAAACATGAATTTGGGTTAAGAGAAGTACAGTTCATGTATACCAAGACTGTAATAGCCTTGGTTCTGTATATCAAGTCTATAGTCTTGGTATTCTTCTCTTAACCAAAAACATAAATTTTGAACTCATCAGAACACCGAGCCTATAGCCTTGGTGTTCTGATGAGTCCAAAATTAATGTTTTGAGCTGAAAGAAGAATACTGTACCAAGGCCTTATAGAATTTTTAAGTCCAAAAAACGTTTTCTCTCAAAATTGGAATTTAATTTTGGGTACATTCAGAATAACACAGAAACAGTAGAAAATGACCTTGAAACCCATAAGTAGTGAATAATTAGCATTGCAAAAGTAATTAATATTCCTGAGATGTTATTTGGACAAGTAATTATACAGATATCATATTTGGGACAACAGTTCCTTAATCAGCATATATTGAGGCTGAGCAGACTCAGTGAGGACACCATAGTTCTGTCTAGGCCCAAATTCAGGATTTTGGTTGAAAGTTATTAAAATTATGGCCATTAGAACACATATGTTCCCCAACACTTGTAAACTTGGCAATATTAGATCCTGAGATGAATTTTTTTTTAGTTTAACATGTATGTTAAGAAATTGAATTATTTATGTACTTTATGTTTAATAAATATTTAAGTATACACTATTATGTATAATTTTCCTTGTACATAGAAAGACTGTTACTTTATACTGACACTCGGTTCCTTGTGGAAACTGCCCCAGAGGTGAACTACGACAAACTTAAGAAACAATGTTGAAAATAACTTTATATGTTACAAGAAGGTTATAAATAATCAGATGTAACTGAGAAATGATGAACTGAGGCAGCTTGAGTGTACAGTTCAGTATAACAGGACTCACTAAACCTGTATTTGAGGATTTTACAAATACAGTATATGAAATAATAAGCTACAATATATTGCCTAAAATATTTTAAATAAAGTATACAGTGTCGGAGTATACACCAAAGGTTAGATGTGGTCCCGTAATCACACCAGGATGAAATATATATTTTTTATCATCTCGGCACTTAGCAGGTGCATCCACTTACACTTTGTGACATTTAATCTCAGAAGAAATGGCTGCTGAGATTCAATGTCACGAAGTGTAAGAGGATGCACCTGGGGCGTACCAACGGTAAGGAGGCGTATCATATGTCCCAACAGGATGAAGAAACTGCACTATTTGAGACTGAATGTGAGAAGGACCTAGGTGTGTATGTTGACAATGAGCTGAAGTTCTCGGGCATTGCGAGAAGAAGGTAAATCAGGCAAATAAATTATTGGGTCTTACAAGAAGGTCGTTCAGATATCTAGACGGTCCATCCCTCGTAACGATCTTCAAGAGTGAAGTGCTTCCCCATCTGGAGTACTGTCACCCCCTCTGGTCCCCGAGATATACTAGGGACTGTCAGTTGGTTAAAAATGTTCAAAGGAGGGCCATCAGACTGGTGCCTGCACTTCTGCACCTCAGCTACCCTGAGAGTTGGAGTGCCTGAACTTGCCTAGCTTATACTACAGACGGGCAAGGGGAGACCTAGTTGGGGTGTATAAGCATCTCAGGGGGCACTACTCAATCGAGTGTCCTTGCTTGGAGCTGGCAGACGCTCGCCCCACAAGGGGTCACAGCTCAAGATTGAAGAAGCCGCAAGTCCAGAAAACTGTGAGGGCAAACTTTTTCGGAGTGAGGGTTGTAAACTCTTGGAACAATCTACCAGAAAGTGTTGTGACGGCACCGAGTGTGAGCTCTTTCAAGACAAGACTTGACCAACACTGGAGAGGGTTCAGGTACATTCAGGAGCCGGTGCATGCCCAGTACTTGCCAACAGTGTGTAACGGAGACGTGACCGATCACCCGAGCTGCTAACGAGCTGATCTTTTGGTGAAAAGGATAAAAGAAAAGGAAAAGTAAACAGAGACGTGTCCGATCGCCCAAGCAGCTAACGAGCCAATACCCTTCCAGTTTGATTTTCAGCCTTTCGTGGGGGTACACTGTCGAAAGCCTTGGCAAAATCTAGGTAAGTATTGTGGATATTACCATCCCGTTCCAGAATATGGGTCCAAATATCCAATACCTTGAGCAATTGTGTTAAGCAGGAGCACCACGGCATAAAACCGTGTTGGCAATCCTTTACAAGGTTGTTTCTTAGTAGATGTTCCATCGAGGCATCTCTGATAATACTGTCAAGTACTTTACATATTCTGCTGGTCAGGCTCACTGGTCTATAGTTGTTAGTGGAGTGACGATCACCCTTCTTGAAGATAGGACTCACATAAGCCACTTTCCATTCACTGGGGACCTCTTATATATTTATTTATTCACGAACAATGATGTTCCTTAAATAAAAGAAGGGGCAATAAGGGACTTAGGTGGTTGATGAATATTAGTTAAGAAAACATCAAAAGCAAGCGGGCAGGTTGACCTAATCTTCTTGATATAAACAAAAAGTAGAAAGTAGTAATAAAAAGACTAAGTTTCAGCTTTCAGTCTTGAAAATATATATAATACAGGGTGGATAAGGCCGAAATACATTACATGTTTGTATGTTCTGATAAGAATCACACTATCTCAGAGCGTTCTGCCGGGAGTGCCACACGATATGTTGGGCAAACACTTTTTTTTACCTAGACTACACTTTTAACTGCTACAGGCTAACGAGCCGATGAGTGGTTAAGAGGATAAAAGTAAAAATAGTACGGGCGGAAGGATTCTGAAACACATGACAGAAAATGGGCGTCTCGGGATACTGAACCAGCGAGAAAACGAACGTCTCAGATGGGGGACGCAATAAAGAAGTTATAGCTACATGTTTTATGAGATATGGAGCGTAATATGAATCATCACACAACTGACAAATAAAAACTGAATTTGCAGTCAGACAGTGTGGCCAAGACGCGTTAATCATTGATTTGCCGGTCACACACTTATCAGTAAGTTCACACAAGTTACTTCAATAATCTAACTTTAAACCAAACAATCGCAACTGTGCAGTTGTGACTTACTGAAACTGTGCTGCAACTGCACTTTGAAATGTAACAACCGTGACATCACTTAATTTAACATATTTACGTAATGCAATCTAAGCGGCTAACGAGCCGATCAGTGGTGAAAATCGGAGGAAAATAAACGTAACAGAGACACAGGTCACCACGTTAATCCCCTGACCCCAACCAAACACTGCTTTCCCTTGCATCCTTGAGAACTTGTGGATTTACTTCACTGGACGACTTCAGACTTTAAGGTAAGAAACTGTGGGGTACATTTGTTTATAACAATCAAACTAATTATGTAAAAGGCAATATATATAAATGTACATTTCTAGAAGTCTGGAAAACTACTACAAATCTACCACAACTTGTTATTTCATTTGAAGAGATGTGTTGTCATTTATGTGACATTCCATTGACAGGCTTAGCTCGCCAAAGCCAACTGTGGAAGCTTGCTCATGCCCTGCCCCATACCCCCCCCCCCCCCCCCGGCTGGGTGTGGGTGGTGGCTGTGTTCGACGTGCGCCGCCTCAACAAGATGACCTCATTATTATTATCGTTGTTTATTCTGTTTCTCATCTGTTTCTTAATCCGTTGTTCCTACTTCTTTTTTCATCTGTTTATGTTTTATCTTGTTGACGTAATAAGTATGGATACGGAGACGTGTGAGTTGTATATTTTTCTCACTAACATACAGCCGCCTTCATCTTAATAATTAAACACTGTAATTAATCTTAATATTATAATTATTATGTGGAAGTATTACTCGCTGTATCTCCTGTCATGTTAAAGAAGGATCTTAAGCACACAACATGTCGTTTTTAACCGTACTGTACAAGGAAGTGCGCGTCAGGCAACCTTGCATATTGAAGGTAATGGAAGATGCAAGAATGGATTTAAAAGCTTCATTGTAGCTAAAACACTTAAGTAATATCCAAAGTTAGTATCTAGACAGTAATGAAACACGTTCAACTAATATCAGTTCAGAGACAAAATTAACTCAGACATGGTGATAAGAATAAAGTAAAGAAAGGTAAAATAAAGTGTCCCAGTCTGCTCAACTGAGGCGAGTTGATGGCAAGGATGACGTCAAGTGTAAAAAAAAACTAAATTTTTTACTTAAACCAACAATGAAGATCTAGATGACGTGTAATTTAGTAATTCCGTAGCACACCGGAGATCACGCGTAGGGAGGAGGCTAACACAATGTAGACTCATGTCTGCTTTTTACTTTTATCCTCTTCGCCACTGATCGGCTCGTTAGCCGCTTGGGCGATCGGTCACGTCTCTGATTACTTTTCCTTTTATTATCATATTCTATAGACAATTACTAATTCTTATGGTAGCTTCTTATGGAGGGGGTTCATGTTAGTGTGCTGCGTCAGGATTCCACTTGTTCCGCTCTTATAGAACCTCATATGTTATTACCCTACCTGACAGTGATATATTCTAATAAAAGTCTGTGTGGTGGCAGGCTACCGTTGTAGGTTTACTAAGTGTTATAATAAGAATGACATGGTTTCCCAGACTGATCCATGGTTTAGAATATCACTACAACAAAATATAATTGAGATAAAATAAGGACATAGAATTCAGAAAATTCAATAAAATCTGAGACAAGAAATGAAGTAAAAAAAAGAATATTGGCTTAGAAAATGTAAGCAAAGAAATTTAAAATAGATACTTATATATAAAAGGACTGAGAATAGAATATAAGTATAAGGATATTGAAGAATAAAAAGAATAAGTATATGAAATAGTATGAAGAGGAAAACAGGACTCTTACAAATTGGTGACTTAGAAAATATAAGCAAGAATATAAGTATATAAATATATTGAAGAATAAAAAGAATAAGTATATGGAATAGTAGGAAGTAAGAAAAGCGGCCCCTTACAACAGAACCCCCTATTGCATAGTTAATAATAGAACATCATTTTGGCACTAACCTGCAATTTGCTAAGCTCTCCGATAATCAAAACACTTATTAAGGATGAAAATAATATATATATATATATATATATATATATATATATATATATATATATATATATATATATATATATATATATATATATATATATATTTATTTATTTATTTATTTATTTATATATATACATATATATATGATCGATAGTTGTCTATAGGAGCTCTTTATGCATACATTGAGACTATCTAGACGTGTAGGGTTAAAACTTGGCCAATAAAGTTAAGCTAAAGTAATGATGGTCAATGGAATGATGTCGCAAAAGATGGTTAATGTTAAAAATAAACTTTAACCATATATCTGGCAGCCAACACGATAAAGCTAACCAAATTAGAACTAACCTAGGATATTTAAGTTTTATTAGAGTGGCAATTATTCACTTATACCAAAAATAAATAAATATATGGGTTTAGCTGTGTTATAACAACATTAATAGTAAATAAAACTAGCGAACAGCAGACAGATGGCGTGGCGTTCGTCTCCTCCTGAAGTGCGAAAAATATTTAAACTAGTTGAAAGATCTTTATTTGACCTCAATATTTATGGTGACATATTTCCTATTTTCGTATACAATTTAAAGTTTCCTATTAAACTTTTATTTTATTGTGATATAAAATAAGAAAATAATATTGAAAACAAATATGAACTGCTGTTTATATGTGTTTAACATTAATCAATATATTTCCACAATATAAAGCTCTGACTTTATTTTTTACACTTTAGATTATAGATACATATACAATCAATGGATATATCACCCACGATTATGTATTACAGTTAAATATAACAGAGCGTTTAATTTAACTAGTTTTCGTAATTCAGGACGAGCTGGACCCATAAGTTGTCAACAAATAAAGTGACAGTAAGGAGACCAGCGAGGTGGTCTGCTCCTCTCCCTCCTGTCTTACCCTCTCAAGTATATCCCAATACCTGCAAACACCTCCCTATCGTCTAAGTAAGTACCTGATCTTGACCTTCGTGTGCAGGAATAATAACACACAAGATTTATATCCAGATTAGCGAATAAGAATTGTCGTTTGTAGTTGTGAAGAGTTTGTCATTATCTCAGCTGATTGTCACATAGTGCATGACGGTGACTCAGTACAACCGTGACTTAACCATTTCTCACTATCATCTACCGTCACATGACACAATGCCACGTAGTAATAGTCTAATACTCACTCAAGTAAATGTTGGAAAAATAGAACACCACAAATTATCTGGATTATCTCACGTATGGTAAATTAACTTTTGTTGTTTATGTAAATTTATTGTATTTATTTTAACTGATTTTGTAGTTTATGTAACAATGTGAATTTGATGTATTGCTGATATAAGTAGAACAAGCATTAAGTACCTTTGTAGAAATTGGCTTTTATTTTTTTTTCGGTGTAAGTTGTATGATGAAAATAACTCGGTAAATTTCTATATATTTCTTGATATCTTTGACATGACAGGAATTATACAGGATTTGTGTGTTGCTGGCAGTGTAAAGTTGTGTTGAGTTGGTGTCAGCCCAGAGTTGTTTAGTTACCGTCAGCCTGTGGTTTTGTCAGCTACTGTCAGCCCAAAGTTGTGTTTAGTTACTGTCAGCCGAGAAATCATTGCGAGACTCATTTAGTATGTTCAATTCTACTGAGAATGTTTGCAAAATAAAAAGTCGCTAAATAAAAGTAGAGTAATCTCCCTGTTAGCCAGAATCTCCGGTCCCTGGATTTCTTCAATAGCTGGTAAGAATTTTGAACCTTCTGGAAAATTCTGGGAAACTCCAATCTGGGCATGGGAACAAATTTTCCAGGAGTTGCAAGAGATTGTATTATGCTCTGATGCATCCCCACCTACCAGGCTCGTTCATGGGTGGGCGAGCTGCTTGAGTAACTTAGGCTGTAGGCTCACGCGTTTAGTTCAAGTTCTGCAGCCATTGTATAAGGTTGTTCCTCACTCGCTATTTTTTATGTTGTGCAGTGATGTACTGTACATTGCTGTATCAGTTATTACATACTGTATTGTACATTCAGTGAGTGTAAAATTATTGTAATGTACTGTATTTACAATACTGTACATAGCAGAGTGGACAGTGTCTCCCTACTGTAGGCTAGTGTGTATAGGTGTATGTATTTTATACTGTAGCATATAGTGCATATACAATACAATCCCTCCTTCATGGAGGGAGGAGGAGTGACAGAAAGCAACACCTGCTACAGTAGATGGTACAGGACAAAGGCAGGCCATCTTGTATCATTGTATCACCATTTGGCTTGCCTGCATCACAAGCTCAAGACAACAGCATCTGCTAGGGAGTACAGTATATAGTGTACAGTATACAGTACTGTAGTATATTTCGTTTATTTACAGTGTATTGTACATATACAGTGGTGTTTGCTTAAATAAATACAGCTCTCTGTCTGTCTGTGAGAGATGCGTTGTTCAGATTCTCGGAAAACATTCCCTAATATTCGGAAACATTCTGGGGATATGTGATGGTGTCTGTCTGTGTGGGATGTTTAGTTTAGACTCGGGGAAAACTTAACCCAGTACCTGGAAAAATTCTGGGAATGTGAGATTTTTTCTGGGGATGAGAAATTTGCCTCAATACCCGGAAATCTCTCATTCCCGGAAGAGGTCTTAACTAATTATTCTGGCTAATGGGGATATCAGTGTTCAGTACATGTAATTGAAAACAAAGTAAGGGTAAAGGACTGAAGGCCCCAAAATTCACCGATCAAAGCTTTAAATGTTACTTCCCATTTTGTACAGTACAGTGTTCTGATACAACGTGGGAAAATAAAGAGAACTTTACAAAAACAAAAAAGTTGCACACAAATAAAATCACATCCATACCGCTTCCAACAGCCCCAGCAGTGCACTGAATTTGGTGGAGACAAAAGTTACTGTGTGTGTGCGTGCCATTCAAACACACCCACACTGTACTCCTCAGGTGACTCCCAGGTTAATTACCCCAGAAGCATCTGTATTAGCCCTCAACCACAGTATTTATTACCATCAGCTAACTCTTAACATGTTTCCCAGGGATTCATAAGGGTTCCATTCTCTGGCAATGCGAGATATTACCTTGTGGAAGGTGACTTAAGGGTAGGAAACGTGAATATTAGACTCCCCGCTGTGAGTTGAGGCTCCACCCTTGACCATGTATTATCTAGTCATGACGATTGTGTGTCAGTTGTCCATTGTTTGTTCAGGGTGGTGGAGAGGTCCCTGCCTATATTGTACCCAGCAAATATTAGGAATCTAAATGTTGGTCTTAACTCAAGTCATTTTTACAATTTAGAATGAAATACAGTATTGCCATGTCCTGTGTGTTATCCTTGGCAGCTTCTGTGGTGTGTAGTTGAAAATATTGTAGAGCAGTGACACTCTTCAGTTCCTCAGTCATCTGGTAGAACTTTTTTACCACAATCTCCCAGAGAGAATTGTTGCTCGTGCTGAGGTCAGTGCTCCTTGTAGGTTATATCAATGTGCTGGAGATGTCACAGACCTGTGAGTGATCCACCTCCTTGGGACTGCCTCACTCTAAAAGACTCTTAACAGCTAGTGTATAGTGAGTCAGTGCTTGGTCTTGGTGCAGCCATACACCATATCTTACACAAAAGTTCATCAGGAGTTGGTATGAGCCACTTCTACAACATGTGCAGATAAGAAGCTTGATTGACTTTACCATAAAAAAAAAGCATAGATTAACCACACACTGAACATTTAATGCTGCTCTCATCTCAACAGGAGGCATGTTGTGTTCATTTTTTCAGCATGAGGAGGATTTTGTTTTGGTCAAATGAAGATGTTTTCATTGCTGAAAAATTTGCCCTCGGGAAGGAATTGTTATGAAAATACAGAACATTTCTTTGTAACATTGTTTCTTATGATGCTTGGATCATTGCCTCTATGCTTTTAAATGTTGCTCCTTTCTTTTGAGTAGAAGTAGATTACATGTGATAGATACATTATACACAAATCATGGACAGACTGGAATACATAGCTATAGATATTCATGTCCTGTACAACGAATGTATATTTATTTTTATGCAATACCTATTATTTTACCAATTCAGGTACTGGTATACTGTACTGTACACTATTGTAAATTATTATGTAATGAAATGTGGGTTGTGGGTTGAATGGGTCCACTCTTATTGAACCACAATGCAAACTAACCATTGTCTCCGTTAGGTCCAGGACCCATTAATTTTATGCCCCATATCCAGTAGTCAGGCTGTGGCCTATAAGGATTAGGGGGCCAGTTCACCAGTAACCTAGAACGTGACAGTGGGAACCCTGGATTGATTTCACGGTACAGTACGTAGTTGTGCTTATCTTATATTACCTGATTTAATCCATACCATTGGACCTTATCTGAAGTGTGTATTATGTCAGCTTTCATCAACAAACACACAATATACCGAGTCACTACTGTATACATTTTAGAATAATTTACCAAACAGTGAGAGAAAACATTAGAGTGAATATAATCGTCTCATTAGTTAATATAAATAACTAGTACACGTGTTGCATTGTTTAGAACAAGAGGATATAGAGGATGTGTGTGACTACTTATCGCTGTTTGCAATTTGTGAATCTTTGTATAGTACAGTTGTAGATTTTCCTGTTCATTTTTCTGAGTATTATTTTCTTTATACTTTTATGTGGAATTTCATAGCCATTCATCGCCTCAGCCTTTTATTATGCAAGTTTGGTAAATGGCAATTGACTTTGTGGTGTTTATGCTACTTGACATGATTGTTGTGTGTGTCATAACACCGAGCTACTGTACTTTGTGTCTAAGTGTCGCCTGTTGTTAGGCAATATACTATAGCTTGTGTTGTGGGGCTTCTGTGTGCCCTCACCATTGTATATTATTTCTATAACTTTTTTTATTGTAATTTTAATGTTTGTTTTTATTTATTCCTTTGTTCATTAAAATGTGCTAACTATGTCAGTTTATAAATTAATAGTGCTTAGAAATAACTATAGTTCCTGATTTTGCAAAATATTGATTCGTTTTGATGTATAACAATAACATAGGTGTGTTCCTTCTTACAGTTAGGGAATACCTGTACAGTTTGTGTGGGTTTGCCTGCACTAACGTGTACTGTACTGCGTGACAGTGAGAGGTAATCGGTAAGAGGATGTTTTTTACCAGATACAGACAGTACATGATTATGCTACTGATAAAGAAATGGTCCACACATTTCTTGAAATTCATTTGCATATGTGACATTTAATTGCCTTGTATGTGATGCATTTATCTGTGTTTTGATTTTCCCTGAACAATTGTTTCATTTCAGGCAAACTTGGTGTGAATTTTTCTCACACAGGTTATTAAGATACTATCATTTTGTGATCTACCTAAGAGCAGTTTGGTTTCTGAAGCATCCAGGCAGAAACCTACCTTTGGCATGGTGGTTGGTTTCTGCAGAACCACTAAGCTAATTGGGGTAAAAGTTGGCACATATATATGAAAGCACCTGACGATAGCTCTCTTGGATCACATGAAGATTAGCCCCCGCTACTTGTTTTACCTGATGATTAAATATGTTAAGGCTACCGGGGGAGTTGAGTTAAGTATTGGGGTACTGCTTTCGTGTGGGGAAGTAAGTCAAGGAGCTTTGATTAGTCACAGCGCTCTATTGTAGATAGCAGATACTGTAACACAAACCTAATGTTACTAAACTTAACCTAACCAAACCTAACTTAATGTAACATAACCTAATCTAATGTTACTAGTACAGGTAAACTTAACCTAACTCAAGTTTTGTTAAGTTAGGTTGGTTTATGTAAAAGGACAAGACAACACCAGTAAAAAATTAAGTATTGACAACCCAACGCACAGTTCAACACTCCCTCCTGGCTGACTATCTACAACTTAAAAGGTTAAACCAACTTACAGACTGTCCATGAGAAGATTAAAATAAAATGAACAATATATCACCTACTGGGTGGATTATGGCGGTCACACTGTATACCAGAATTATCTATACATTGCTAGACATTGATTTTTTTCAGAGTACTTAACACTTTACCTTTTTTTAACTTGAGTATTTTGCATCATTAATTTGTGTTGTTTTCAGATGAGTTGAGTGGTAATGCAGCGGTGATAGTAAGGACTGGAAAGTGATGCTGGGGGGAGGTGGTGGTTGTGGAGGGCCTGTGTCGTGGTGGTGTAGTGAAGCCTGGAGGTGCTCCCCCAAAGTGGCTCCTGACATAACGTGTGCAGCCACAACAGCCACTCAGATGGCTGACTGTGACCAATGCAATGCCAAGTTCTCTCTCCTCAAGAGGCGGGTGAGTGGAGTATTGTCTGTGTTATTAGTATTGATGATATTCCTGAAAGGTGATTGACTCTCTCCTATACACAGGACACGTCAAGTTAATGTACTGAATTGCTGGCAAATGTTTGATGACGAATGGAAGTGAATGCTGGAGATAATGTGTCATGGGTCAACCTTCATAGACTGAAGAAGAAGCTTTAGTCATTCTAACCAGATGTGATTATGAAAGTAGAATGTTAGTGTGATGTAATACAGTGTTTGATATACTGTATATAATGTTTGTAAGCATGAGGTTCAGTGTTAGGTGTCAGGCAGTGTGAAGAAATCAAAACACTTTGAGCCCTGAATACACTGATCAGGTGTAGCTTGCCAAATGCCCATTTACCTGTGTGTGAAATGCCTGTAAATACACCTGTCAGGATTCCGAGTTCTCATTTCCTAACTCCTAGGACCACCTTACTAGTGATCATACTACTACAGTATTTCCTCATAACCTCCTAATATTTTTCTTTTCAGAGAATCTGTAGTGGTTGCGGGCTGGTGTTCTGCGGGGCGTGTATAAAGCGTGGTATGTGTGGAACTCGCAAGTGCAACAAGTGTATAGTGTTGACCCAGTGGCCTTTAGATGTATCTGAAGTGACAGCGCTGCGAGTGAAGGACCTCAGGCATTTCTTACACTCACGGCATATTAACACCACAGCTTGTACAGGTTGGGAAACATGGTGTACTATATCAAGTGTGTGTGTGTGTGTGTATCTCTCTCGTTATGCTGTTCAAAATATATGCTACCGTATAGTATATTTTGCATACCGTAGCTGAAATTTTTTTGGATCTGGTCAATATTTTTTAAGATACTTTTGCAATCATGAAATTAAAACACCCACAATATATCTTTTAAATAATAAGATCATTCACAACTGTACTTAATGGTGTGCAAGACTAATGTTAATGTGGTTTTAACTTAGAGGAAATAAGATTGTGAATGATACTTAGTTATAACAATTTTGATTTGGTAACATGGGAAATCATTGAGAGTTTATAATTCAGTGTTCCATTAATGATCTCTTGTGGTTATTAATGCTATACTCTGTTGTGCTAATGAAAGTTAATGACCTTGTTGTTTTGTAAATAGTTGTGGTAGATATTAATGCAGGTTTACAATTGGATAGGCATGTATATTAAACTATGCAGGTATACAGTTCAGCGTGAATATAGACAGTGTAGGTACAGTATAGGGTTCATGTAGTTCGTGGGAGGGATTATAGAATTTCCTGTGGGCACAAACAGTGCTGGTTCGTATATAAATGGTAAACAGTAAGACAACTTGACCAAGGTGTCCGCTGTGTATTTCCAGGAGGGTCCGTGCTTTAACCTTACTCTTGACCTCTAAACTTTCTGTAGCTTGATAATAAAATCTTAGAATATAACTAAAATTACTGTATATAAAAGAGTAATATTGTACCTTTAAATATGGGAAAATCTGTGCCAACATGTGAACAGGATATTGATAAGGCTTTGTACAGGAAATTGCATCCTGTTGGGTTGACACAGTTTAGATAAAATGATAAGTTGTAAATTTCACACATGAATGTTTTTAAGGTTTAGAAATGGCCAATACCTCACCACAATGATGTCTTCATAGATGCTCCCATATACTGACGCTACACTGTAAACCCAAAACTAGGTGACACGGGTTATTTTAAATTACCAGCACAGTATTTTCCCATTTTGATTTTTTTGTCAGGTGTGTTTGATAAATAATTGTGATTATTTTGATACACACTGGCTCATTATTACACAGCATTGGCAATATATTTGTGCCATAGCAAGTACCATGATATAATACCCTTGGAACTGATCAATAGGGAGGAGCCATATTTATTGCTTTGCTGTTTTGTCTTATGTTTTCATAATTTATTTTACAGTAAAGTATTAAAGTTAGTTAAAAACATTCAGTAGTGTGGTGAAACATTCAGTAGTGTCATTACAGTACAGTAAGCATTGTGTAATCTCAAAACAAATGTCAGGGTGATATTTTGTGCTGTGGTTGTTACATTATCCTCCCTTTGAGCGTGGAAACCCATCCTCAACATTCGCTCCTCGGAACTCGACCCCACATAAATGACCACAACTTGTACCTGATCTATTGAGTTATGCTGTACAATAAAGTGATGGAGAGTTCATTTATTAATATTAGATGTCTATAAACACATTAATCCTATTGTACTTTAGTGTGTAGTTTAGATAGAAAATATAAGGCTGTAGTTAGGCAAAGTTTACACATTCTGATATAATTGTTTGTCCCAGGGTGCATAGGTCATAACATACCTGCAGGTGGAGAGGAGCGACAGACTTTTGCTGTGCTGGAGTTTTCATTGTTCAGGACCGTGCAGTACAATGATTAGTACAGTACAGTGATATATTACTGTATTATAATTATTTCAGACTTGGGATTATAAAAAGATTGTATATGTGTGTCCTACCTTGTTACTTCCAGCCAGCCACCACATGTTATATACTACTCACTTCATTGACACAGAATCTTGACTCTTTGTAATATTCTCACAGACAATAATAAAGATCATCAACTCCCATTTTGAAGTGATTTATTTAATTTTTGGGATTTTTCCTTGTGTTGAATTCAGTAATTTCTTTGGAATACTCCCATTATCAGGGATGGTTATTTAGTGATTTTGTCATGTCACAATGCTTGGATTTTTCATGGCTTCTGTTACTTTTGCAGAGAAACGTGACTTGATCGAGTTGGTGACGCGTCATGTAAGTTACCAGCACCGAGGGACGGGCGCCACCAGCAGATGGAGCGTGCCAGTGAACGGGGATAACGGTACTACAAATTCACGAGTACAAACAAACCATAAGCCTCCTGCACCGCCCCGCCCCAACAACACCACCAGAGATGATGGTATCCGAGTGAGGCCCAGCAGTGCGTCTCCCTCAGACTCGAGGAATATGGGTAGCATACGGGTAAGACCAATGGATGGCGTGAGAGTGAGGCCGGTTCGCTCGCTCTCTCCAGATTCTAATGATTATGATCCGGAGGTCGACTTCGGGATCAGGGTTTTTGCAACAGAAAGACAAACAAACCACCAACAGAGGGCCAATAGCACTTCCCCCATCAGTGCAGAGGGTTGTTCAGGAAGTGTAGAGGACCACTGTTCACACTGCCCAAGTGAAGACTGTACAACTTCATGCTGTAGTCTAGATTCTTGCCATAATGGGGCATCTAGTCAACCTGTAACATGCCCCCTTAATGTTGATACATCAAGTCAAGAAAGCTTTGAGGATATTATTGCACCTTGTGAAGGCCACCTCCCAGATACCTCAAATACAGAGAGATCCAGAGATTGGATAATTATCAATGCTCAAGTGGAACCCCAGCAAGTCAGTGAGACAGGATCATCACATGACACCAATCACACCCACAACAGCTCTGCCAGTTATGATGCTGGGGAGGCAGCTACAAATTCTTCGCCTGACACTGAACCGTCAGCACCGCCACAGGAGGAGGAGCCCCCACCCGTCACTGCCACGTCGTCCTCCTCGGCCTCTTCCTCCACACCACCTTCGGCAACATCCTCACCAGAACCAAACAAATGTGTAAGTAATGGCATCTTATAAGGTGTATTTCCATGCTAGTGTACTGAACATAAAAGGACTACACAAGCAGTTACAAGTTCATTACTGTACTGTACTGGGTGAGTCAAAATGAGAATGAGGGTAGGATACCTGTGTGTGTGTGTGTGTGTGTGTGTGTGTGTGTGTGTGTGTGTGCTGCTGCTTGGTACACTGCTCTGCTTTTAGTCTGGGTTGATAGGGATGGTACTGTATTATTATATTCTTGTATTAGCTTACTGAAAAGAAGCAATGGCAAGTGACAGTGGGAGGTTTGAAGGTGTGTGATTGAAAATGTGTTGAAGGGAAGAAATTTGGGTATCATGAAGGGTAAAGAGAAATGAGGTGGAAACAAATGAAGTAGTAAAGAGATTGAAAGTCTGAAGATTAAAATTTTTTATCTCCAGTTTGTTCCTGGCATTATACCTCTCGGGGATCTCAAGTCTGAAGAAGATATTCGCCGTTTGAGTGTCCGCCAGTGCAAGGAGCTGCTGGCCTTGCATAGAGTCAACTATTCTGGAGTGAGGGAAAAGTCGGAGCTCCTAAAGAAGATCGAGATGCTCTGGAAAGATTATCAGAACTCTCGGCAAGGTTAGTGTATCATGAGGGATAGATCTTGACATTTGACACACATCTCTGTGGTCTTGAGGTGTTTTTGTGTGTTTTTTAATGAATATGTACAAATTTCACTGTTTCTGATACTTATTTTTAATGTTGCATCAGGTTTTTTCAAAGTTAATAGGGTGATATCCCATATAGAACGCATCCACCCACTGTCCACAATCCACAAAGTAAATTCCCTCATACTCAAACAATTTATAATTTATACTTGTCCGTTCCCTTTTCAATTAATATGCGTATTTTTTTTTCCAGATGTGGAAGCCTTACCTGAAGAACTAGTGTGTAAAATTTGCATGGATAGGGCAATTGATTGTGTGTTGCTAGAATGTGGACACATGGTAGCTTGTACACAGTGTGGTAAGCAGATGGCTGAATGCCCAGTTTGTCGCCAGTATGTTGTTCGTGTTGTCCATACTTTCAGGGCTTGAGTGCAGTAAGTGGCATTTTCTATTGGACCTCTTATTGGGGCCTTAGTATTTCTGATACTAATTTTTATAAGCTTTAGGATTCCACATTGTAAGATAATTTTTTATCTAGTGGACAGTGAACTTGGGTAGCTGTATGTTAATTACTGCATTTTACATACCTACTTCAATATATGAAACTTGATTAAGATGCACCGTGTAGGAGTTTTGTATGGAGGACAGAGTAAGGCTAGAATATGTTATCTTCAACCTTCTTAGTACAGGGTAGTCATATGAAGGCTGACCAGAACTGATTTTTTAAATTTCTTCTAATAAAGTTGTTTTTTAAACTTTGTTGCAGTAAAGTTCTTATGTAAACTTTTTGCAGAATAATCGAGGGAGTTCTAGATTAGATATTGGAAAGTGAATGAGTCATGCTGTGGGAATGTACGTCCTTTATTAGTGACCGATTTCACTGTGAAGTGAGACTGGTGCAGTTAAACGGTTAGTGAAGACCTTGGATACATATTCTCTGGTGAACGGTTACCATGTAGGTTTAAATGGTTTTATTACAAGTAACCTGCCTTTTATTTGCATTTTGAAGACTGACTTTACAAGTTAATACTCCAAAAGTTCTCATCACAGTATAGTAGTGTAGTTTATTGGATGACATTTGTTATTTGTTCATCTTAATTTTTAATTGAAAATATCTGGTAAAGAAGTACAACAGTTCATAATTGTTCATAATAAGCCAATATGAGGTTTGATGCTTTAGAGTTATTTCAGATATGATAATGATAGAATGTAAATAGACACAGTCTTAGGTGACGCACTCAAATATTTATCCTTATTTTATACTGTACATGTACATACATAAAAGACACTTGAACGTTACTGTACTGTAATTAAGAAAACATTGTGAAGGCAATATGTCTACTAATTTCACCATCACATTACACTCAAGTTGTCTTTCATAATTTCATCCATTACTTCACCAAAGGTATGATAGTGACCCAGATGCCTTGTTTCTTAAGTTTATTTCACCTATGGATCAAGTATTTGTTTAAGGTCTTATACAAAACAGCGATCCACGTCGTAGACAAACTCGCCAGACTACCAGGTACTTATTGTACAGTACTTGATGATGTCTGTAGTTGGGCATAATTTTCACTCCTTTTGATAAGCTTCCTATATTCAGATTTAATGTGGAATCCATATTATGCAAATCAGTTTACTTAAAACTTCATTTGACTTTGGTGAGGATTTAAATTTACTGTATTGCTAAGTGTTTGGCTGTACAGTGTCAGATTTTTCCTAACTTATTTTTAGTTAAGAAACTTTTATGTAAACTATTATGTTTTTTCTCTGAGGAAGTACGGTATAATTATAAGGTACAGTTTTCAATAGAATTTAGTTATTTTCAACAGGATTGTCATTTGGAAAGTAGAAATGTGATATTTTTGTCTATTTAGTGTTATGTATACACAATTTCATTCAATTTTTTTCTGAAATACAGGTAAGGTATTTCAAGAAGCATTATTTCCACACTGTGTTATACATAATACCATATAGTACAGTGAAACCTCTATAAGGATTACATGGAGAGGAAAGTCTGTTATATCAAGGGTCCGTCAGATGTGAAACTCCCATCTAATGAACTGTATAGAGATGAAAGTCCTTTATATCGAGGGTCTTTTAGATGTGTATCCCCTACCTTAGGAATTATATGTAAATGGAAGTCCTTTAACTGGAGATTTCACTGTACAGCATAGGAATAAATAATTATGGGTGATAATTTCCTACGATATAATTTTAATTCTGAAAAATGGGAAGTTTTGCATCATCAGCTTTTCTATGGAGTTTTATCTTTTACCATAGTTTAATGTATAATGAAAATAATAAACAGTCCAAATATTGTTCTCATAATCTTCTGTTACATTTAATGATGTAATACAAGATTTAAAGAGACCAGTGTATTTTGTGTGTGAATTTGTCATATGTTTATTATGTATTTCCTGTTTGTATTTTCTCTTATCAATATTGTGATGTTGTACAAATTTTATGCACCTGTAATTCTCTGAACTCTTTAGGGATGATTCCTGCCATTGTTGTGTTATGTGTGTGTAATTATATGGTTCCCTGGCCAGCCTGTCACCTGCCTGAGTTTGTATAAGGCGATTATTTTAAAACATTAAACAAAGACTTTAGTATTTATCTATTATCACAATTATGCTTAAGTTTATCATAGTTAACTCTTTATTTCATATTTGTATAATTTTTCAATGTGTTAATCTTCCCATAAGAGTTGTAGTGAATGGTTGTAATACAGTATAGTTCTTGTGTTGTGCAAAATGAGTTGGAATTTATCCCATTTGGCAGATATGTGTCTCAAAAGATATATTTAGTTTTAATATGTGGCCAGATGTTATTTTCCCAGAATAAAAGCAAGTTGGTTACACTGCCAGAAGTTGTGGTGGAAACTGAGTTACTAATTTAGCCATTCCAGGTTCAAGGTTAAATTAAAAACTAGGGGAGAAATCCATGTATTTATTCCTGTTCATAAAACACGCAAACATACGTATCATAATATATTAATGTTTATCTCTATCTTCCTCACTATGATTTATGGTAACTGTAGGAAGACTAAAGTAGGCTTTTGGACATAGGGATGATGATGAGAAATATATCAGTTACCAGGACCAGTAGTATTGGGACGGAAGTTCTCCTGACCTGACCATACCTGGCAACATTTCTTTCTACCAATTGTTTTGTGTTAGACATCATTACTATAATTTAACTGTACCAATTTACCTATAACATGGACTGTCACTAATTATCCATTCAGTTTCCACAACGGCTTTGATTAATTAATACAAGTTATAAATATTCAGCTTGGTATGGTCTGTATAGAATATTGATCATGACCAGAAATGTAACTTCATACAACTGTGGATGAGATAAGCAACTGTAGATGAATGAACATTTTCCCAGGAGTCCACATACATACATCCAGTTATTACTCCAGATCCTTAATCAGTGTGTTGAGAAGACCTATATTTGACTGTCAGGAGCATCATCACACTACTACCACCTACCTCCTTGCTGCTCCACCTTGTTAGTTACAGCATCAGTATTACTCATTAGTTTACTCCCTGGTTTAGCATAATGTTCAGTAAGGTATATAACTTATTTGTAGCTCGACGAGACAAAACAATCTGTGTATCTTTTTGGAGTGATGACTCAAATGGGTCTTGATCTTCAGTGAGTTAGGTCAGTTTAGTGTAGTATTAAGCAAAATTCACTCTGCTTGTAATATATTTTTGTAATGAACATCGAACTATTTTCATTTTACGGGAATCATTTTGTTTATAAGAATACAGTATCAGTCAGTATCAGTGTTGTCTATTATGGAATGACATTGTAGGGTAAAAAATCACACATCAGTAACTTATGAAACAAAGATTTAGTTACAAAATAATAATGTCAACTCTTCAAGGATTTTTATAATATGTTAGACTAGTTATTTTACTCTTAAAATTTGACATTATGAAAAAATCACTTTAACAACTTTCATCTGCAGGCTATAATAAAGTTAATCCTTGGAATGTGTGGGGATTAATCTGCCGTTCATGATATTGATTGTTCTTATTATGTGCTAAGTATTTCCTGTACTGTATTACCTGTGGACAGTTAGTCATATCAATGGTGTGATGAGAGACATTAGACATCATCCTCACACAACACTGTCTGGGAGAAGTTAACTTTATCAACATTTAGCTTTGTTTTTTGTGCACGTACATGATGTTGATGATGCAGTGTCCATATTATATACAAAATGAAACTACCAATCATATAGTCCTTCAGTGCAATTTGCCTTCACATTCTTATGACCAGATAGTCATGTGGGCCCTTACAGCTGTATTTGAAAATAGCATTAATAAAATGTACCAATACTTTGCATTTCCATTGTTTTCTGTATTAATATGTTAAACCTATTGTATAATATCTACAGGGTGTTGACTGGCCTCCAAATCTATGTTCCATGATTCAATTGCAGGGTAATTAGTGGCTGTAATGTCGCTTGAATTATTTTAATGATACTTTTCAATTGTGAATTGCAAGTGCACGAATGGCAAGGGTCTACTGTGTGCATATATATATATATGCTGATAACCACAAGGAAAGAAGAAAACATGAAGTTCCCAAGCGCTTTCGTGTAATTCACATCACCCTTGAAGATGTGAATTACACTAAAGGGCTTGGGAACTTCGTGTTTTCTTCTTTCCTTGTTGTTATCAGCATATATTTGGATCATGCGCACCCACAGTGATTTACTAGAGACTCCTGTACACTGCCAGAGACTCCTGTCCAAGGTGTGACTTAGGCATGTATGTGCAGATTCTGAATATATGGTCCACGATTTGATTGCGGAGTAATTAGTGGCCGTAATGACACTTGGAGGATTTTAATGACATTTTTCAATGCTAATTACTCATCAACTATGGGTTTCCAAGGTGTGATTTAGGTTTTTTTTTTTTTTTTTATTCTGGAAATACTGAAAGTATACTTTTTGTGTACCAATGGGGCCCCTGGTAGTCCCATGGGGTCACTGGCCTTATTAGGGTCTCTGGGGCCCCCATGATACTCCTACAGGACCCTGGTGGTCTCATGCAGCCCCTGGCTCTGCTAAGCCTCTGGGACCCACTAGTCGGTATGTGGGACCCTTGGGGCCCTCTAGTAGTCTCATGGGGGGGGGGGGTCCCCTCGTTGTCTTATGGGGTCTGGCTCTGGTAGGCCCCTGGGAACCCTTGATAGTCCCATGGGGCCCCTGGCACTGTTAGGCTCCCTGGGGCGCTCTGGTAGGGTCCCCTGGTAGTCCCATGGGTGCCCTGATACCTCCCCTGTGGGCCTCTGGTGGTCCTCAGAAGCCCCAGCGGGACCCGTGATAGTCACATGGAGCCCCTGGCTCTTGTAGGGCCCCTGTGGGGGACACCTGTTAGTTCCATGGGACTGCTGGCCCTGATAGGCCTCTTAGGGGCCCCCTCTTAGTCCCAAGAGGCCCCTGGCCTTGGTAGGATCCATGTGGACCCCTAGCCCTGGAAGTGCCCCTAAGGGCACACTGGTTGTTCCATGGGATCCCTGGCCTTGGTAGGGCCTCTGGGAGCCTCTTGGTAGGGCCTCTGGGAGCCTCTTGATAGTCCCATGAAGCCCTTGGGCAGGCCTCTGGGGGCCCCATGGTATTCCTACAGGACCCTGAGTAATCCCTGGAATGGCCCCCAAGGGGCCCTTGTAATCCCATGGGGCTCCTGGAGGATCTTTGGTAGGCCCATTTGGGAACCCCTGGTAGTCCCAAGGGGCTCTTGGCCCTGGTAGGGCCCCTGTGGCCTCCTGTTAGTACCATGAGGTCCCTGGGGGCTACCTGGTAGTCTCATAGGACCTTTGGGGGCCACCTGGTAGTCCCATGGGACCCTTGAGGGGACGCTTAGTAGTCCATGGGGCCCCTGGGGATCCCTGGTAGTAATGTGGGGCCTCTGGGGTACCCTGATAGTCCCATAGGGCCCCTGGGGGATCCCCGGTAGTCCCATGAGACCCTTGGGGGACACCTGATAGTCCAATGAGACCTCTGGTAGTCCTATGGGGCCCCTGGGCGACCTCTGGTAGTCCCATGGGGCCCCTGGGAGACCTCTGGTAGCCCCATGGAGCCCCTGTGGGATCGTTGGTGGTAACATTCTGATATGTTGTTATTACCACCATGCTATGTGCACTGTTCCAGATGATACTAATTGTTACATCATACTTCCTTGAGATAAATGTATAGTATATATCAGGTGCTTTCAAGAGAGCTCAGCCATGTTAACATGATTTTTATCGACTCTGTATCTGTGTTCTTCTGGCTAAATAAACTGTTTCAATATCAATATTCCATTGGGCCCTTGGACCTGGAGCCACTGGGAGATGTTTGGTAGTTCCATGGGCCCTATCGGGAACCTCTGGTACTCCCATGGGACCCCTGACCCTGGTAGGTCTTCTGTGGGCCCCCCTGGACGTCTAATGGGGCCCATGGGGGATCCCTGGTAGTCCCATGGGGGATAACAGAAAATTCGTTTACTTTATATTAAATTGTTTTTGTAAAAAAGAATTTTGATATAAAGTTTGTAAAGAAAGTTATGTAATTTAGATAAATTTGACCGACTTTGAGTTTATCCATTTTATTTACTTTAACGTCCAGCCGTTCACCACAACAACACATCAGCTTAGACTAAGCCTTAGAGGACTGGTTACATTTCACGTAATTTTTTATCAATTTTCTAGACCATTTGGAGTATAATTGTGTGTAAGTGTTATGTGGCGATGAAGGAGGTGGGACCCCTGTGTGATACTGGTAAGAAGGAATTTCATAGTTGGTGAATAATGTGGCTATTATTTTGACTACCTTTTGACTTAATTTGTTTATTTATTAATCTAAAAGTAATTATTTAGGCGTGATCATCTCACTTAATCGCAAATAGTCTTGCCTTGTTGGTTTAGGTTAGGTTATAATAATATTTATATATACAGTATTTGTAAACTATTTTATATCTATGAAGACATTATCTCACATGTCGGGCCGCCCTGCCAGCCGGTCCGGTTACAGTGTACTGTGTCTCTGTCATTAATATCGTTCATACATCTGGTTGGACGCGTGTAGAGGTGCTTGGACAGTGTTTATAAGGCATCTTTACTTGGTAGTCATAGCGGTAACTATTAAAAAAAAATTATTATTACAATGTTGGTCGTGGCTGAAAGTGTTCGGACAGGTATGACTTCGTTGTCAAACAATAACATTAATATTTCAGGTATAAAACTATACTATTAAATAAAAAAAAATTTCATGATTATATTTTTGTCTTTATAGATATAAAATACTGTACATGTAAATGATCCAGGTTGTGGATATAAAAGGATGAAGTATATGTTTGACTAGCTGCGAGGGTTGGGACAGGGAACCAAAATGGCGGATGTTTGAGGTGAACGCTACCGCTTGACAGTCCAGGAAATAACCTCCTGAGCCGTCGGTAAGACATTTATTAATAATATTATTGTCATATAAAGAACGTTAATAATACCTAGTAGTTGTTGGTATATTATTAACCAGAGCTAAAGTGTAATTAATGGTTAATTTAGTCTATTGTGTTGGGTCGCCAGGCACAGGTATTGTATCGTATCTTTTATATCAAAAGTTAATGATAAGCAGCCATATTTCAGTTGTCCATTACATTATATGGTAGAGATTCATTGGTAAATTATTGCTTTCGGACAACAGGGAATCTTAGGAGTTTGTCTTCGCAGTCAATAGTTAGACAAGCCTAAGACACTTCATAATTTTTTAAGACGTTTGTGAGGTAAACGTCGTAGAATAGAAGCGTCTTAGGATTGTCTAAATTATTGATTGGAAAAATAAAATTCCTAAGAATCCCCTGTTTTTCAATGCCGCCCTTACCGTGTTGTGTTCAGTACCATATCACAAGTTATCTATGCTTGTGTAGGAAAAGTTGGCAAGACGTGAAAGTGTTCAACAGAACTGACAGTGAAGAAGAAATACTGTACACTGTGTTTCACTGCAACAACCAATCGTACTCTCACGTGCCACTTCAAGATAGTTGCTTTCATTGGTAGCAGATATCAAAGTTAATTCTGTCCCTTCCCCAGCTAGGAAGTTAGGTAAATTTGGTTAGGTTAGGTTTTATACATTGTCGTATCATTTAAACCGCAAACGGTTGCCATTTTTTCAAGATGACGGCAAAAGCTCACCTTGAATGAGTCAGGATGTTTAGTATGCTGTTTAGGAACGTATTCTGACTTCAGTACTTCTACCAAGTATTATTTCGTTATGAATTATTTCAATATTTTGCATAAAAATTGTCTAATTTCCCTGGACTAATACCTACTATAAAAGTCTGGTGCTGCTGTAGTGTGCAGTCTACAAAGATGTATCTAGTCTAACCTAACCTAACTTAACCTAAGTATCTTGTAGACCAACTCTATAGTAGCTCCAAAGACTTACCTTATTTTACCGATGCCAAAGGAAAAAGTTTGTTATTTTTGTAATTTGATGTTTTGTCAGTGAGCCAATTCTTATTTTCAGCGTTTAGGTCACAAGGGGAGCTTGAATACATTTATATAAAAATTAATTTTTGTTGTGTACAAAGCACAAAGACATTTGGTTTAAGTGTCATATGAATAGTTTTTCATTGTGCCAAATAACTGGTTGTTATTCAGCCTGATACTGGTCAAATAAGCCCAGCCTATAATATAATAAGTTTTGTGTATTATAAAGCTGTTGGTTATATTTCCAGGAAGTTACAAGGACTAACAACACTGCTGACGTATATGATGCCACTGATGAAACACTGCTGACCTGAGGAACAGTACTACAGTATATGATGCCACTGATGAAACACTGCTGACCTGAGGAACAGTACTACAGTATATGATGCCACTGATGAAACACTGCTGACCTGAGGAACAGTACTACAGTATATGATGCCACTGATGAAACACTGCTGACCTGAGGAACAGTACTACAGTATATGATGCCACTGATGAAACACTGCTGACCTGAGGAACAGTACTACAGTATATGATGCCACTGATGAAACACTGCTGACCTGTTGGAGGTGAGATTTACTTGCTGTTAATTCATATCACGTTCTTATTAGGTGCACAAGCTGAGTCAACTACAGGTTGGGTTTCCCTTATCTGAAATTACCAAATTCGAAATGCCCTGAAATCCGAAAGTCTTATTTCATTATATTTATGGTAGATAATTCTGTACACTGAATATGGTATACCCGTATATACTCGTGTATAGTTTGAGTTTTTAAGACCAAATTTTTAGGCAAAAAATTGGGGGTCGACCTATATATGGGTAATAGTTTCGTCAGGTTGAATCCGTGCATGATGGGAAGGGCTAGGAGCAAATTTTAGCTTTAGACATGAGAAATATATACCAGTTACTGCCAGTAAACAATGGAAATGTAAAATATGTACCAATTAGTAATGAAAAGCTGTGCAGTGCCTTCAGCAGATGCAGCTCACCAACTTACAATAGGCTAACATAACATACAATGTGCTTTCAGTAGTCTATGTTAAACCTTATGACACTGTCATCTGAGTAAAAACTCGCACAATATTCATTGACTGTCCTATGTTTTAGACTTTACCGCCATTGGTGAATAGAATTTTAGTTTTACATTTGTAAATATTATTTAAAACATATATGAACATCAAATAAGTGTTGCTTTCATATTCATATGTAGAGAAATGACATATGTTTTCACATGTACGCACTTACTGTACATACGTTGGCGTTCCCAATCGTCTCGCCTTATTTCTTTACAGTTAGTGGTTAGCTACTTCTAGTGTTCCATTTATTAACATTAAATAGCATTACTTAAAACATACATACAGGTATTCAATTTTTTTAAATTAAGTTCACTACAGCCACAAGCAGGGTCTTGTATTCTTCAGTTTCTTATGTAGAACCATCGTCTCTCACGAAAACAATGCCGTCGTGTGTGTTTTAATATTCTACTTATTATTAATGAATTTTATTGTTCATTTCACATATATAAACATTAATTCAATGAAATACATATTCAGTAATAAACAATAATGAATCTATTGTACATATTCTTAAGATAAATGACTTTCCTTGGGCCCCATCCCTGCTGGGTGAGCTACCCCATTATACAGGTTCTGTATACCTTGTACAGGTGTTCCAAATATATCCCAAATCCGAGACCCCTAAATCTCCAAGCATTTTGGATAAAGGATACCTAACCTGTACTTGTGTTTATGTGCAGTTGTGTACAGTACTGTACTACAGTATTTAAAACATCAAATACACTGTACCCATTAGTTTTAATTCACATTTAAATACATTTTTTCGAGAATATGAAGCAGCTTTATTATTTAAGCATATTACCCGTATCTTGTGTTTGGGCACGGGAGGTCATGATGTAGATTTGGTTCAAATTCATCAGATACGCTGTGCTGTACTGTACTGTACTGTTTTTAAATATTGATTAAGGATCTTGATTCGGAATGCAAAAATGTCACAAATTAGCGTTAATTATGACCCTTGAATTAATTAAACAAATGTACAGTATAGTGTATTTATCTAAAGGTGGACATTTATGTAAATGTGTTTGTGTGCATTTATATTTATTTAAGAGAGTTTGTTTGTACGGTACATGTATTTGTTTAAATGTGTGTGTGTGTGTTTTGTATAAATGTTTGACTTTTAGTGTAAAGGTGTTTGTGTTGTCATGTAAAACCATACAAGCAGTTGTGTAACACAAGGTGTGACACAACAAATCTGAAGATTAGTTATTGCTGAAACTTGTCTCAAAATTACTTAATTTGGATGATAAATAAAAAATTACTTTATTTGCCTTAATGGCCACCCACTAGAGGTGGTCAGGGTGAGGAAAGGAGGCCAGTGGTCTATGTAGGATCCTTCCATCGTTCTTGATAGTCTTGTCTCGGGTTATTTTTATTCTGTATGATAAGTTGCCAAGCTTAGTCATGTCCCATTATTTTGGTGGTGCGTGACATAGCCCAGGTTCATGTTTTCCATCTTTTCCAAGAGTTTGAATGTCTATGAGTTGTGTCCTGTCCTGTCGTGTCTTGTCAGAAGGGTTGTTAACCCCAAGGCCCTCAATTTATTTGGATAATCAGGATGACA